TACGTAGTATCATTATTATCTTTTATTTGTTGTGTTTGTGTCACCTGGTGAATGCAAGTCCAATATTCGCTCTCTTTTAGCTCTATTTTGGTCTCTACCAACTCCTGAGGGAAATATGTGTCTCTTTAGCTGCTCCACTGTGTTCACCAGCTAGTCTCTAACTGTGTCTGTCTGAGACTTAACCAGACAGGACATGTGCCACAAAACCAAAACTAGCAGCTAAAAGAGGATAAAAAGCTCTGTAGAAAGAATTCTCTGTGTGTTCAACACTCATTTCACAGTCCTGACTTGGAAGCAGACTCTCCATTATATAACTGTCAGATAATCCCAGATTAAAGGTTTTGGGTGTTTGTGAACTGCTTTGACACATTGTGAACAACTGTTTAATTAGTTCATGCAGATCCACAGACTGTGTTCCGGTTTTAAAGTGGTTTCCCAGGATTTTGAGGCTGTTTCGGACACAAGGCTCCACTTAGTTTGTAGTGTTTTCTTTTCATTGTTCAGTTTTGTGGAGTTTGTGATCAGTTTACAGAAAATCTATAATGATATTACTGTGGTGAGCTATTGCATAGACTTGCACCAAGTAATGTCTGTGTAATAAAATTTTCTCTGATGAGTTTATGTGAACTTTACGGCTCATCTGATTTTGTGCAGGTGAGAATGACGACATTCATCGCCTGGAAATGCATCTGGCTCATCTAACGAGATCGCTGTTGTGAAGCCTGTTAGAGCAGTTCATTTCAGCCAAACCTCCAGGTCGTCTTGTTTTATTAGATCTGGAAACATCCTGATATTATTCAGGAGTTATTACATTATACACAGATTGTGGTGTGTCATCAGTTAAAATAAGAAATGCAAGACATGTCTTCAAGACACGTGGCAAAAATCTGAATTATGAGTAGAAAACACAAATGAGGGAACAACATAGAAGCTTTGAATTTAAAATGTGCCTTCATTTGTTATGTCAAAGTTATGTAACTAGTAAAATTTGTTTATTTTCTATGGTAACGCAGCAGTGGGTTTTTCTTAATTTATCAAAAGCGTGTGAATGTGAAAATGTGAAAAAATAATCAATTTCACATGTGCTGTGTATCACGTGTTAAATTCATACAATCAGAAGTGTTAAGAAGTGTAACTCCGCCAGGGGGCAGCCTGGAGGGGATCATGCATTTGGTCGTGTGTGTTAATGTGTGTATCTGTGTGCAGGTAATCTTACATACATGCTTATTTATACCAACTCCTAAACTCCTCCTAACCAGCCGGTAGTGGCTGCAAGTGATCAACAGCTGCTAGGCTAACAACAAAGCTTACCTAGTCTGCCATAGGCTGCATTACGGCCTTTGTCATGGCTCAGAAACTGACTTCCACAGAAACAGTTGGTCTCATCTTGAAACAGCAGCTCATCTGCAGATTAATTGCATACCTGATATGTTATGATCTGCAAAAGTGGGGCACAACAAAGATTAATAAATCCCCTTTTTTGATATCTTCACCACCATCTTGACTGTAAGGGAGCTGGGAGGGATAATGAAGTGAGATTCAACTCTTCTTTGTTTGGAAGGGGAGAGGAAGGAGTTTTATTTTGAGTAGTGTGCTACAAAAATGTACTAAATAAATAATAATGTTTAAATTGAGAAGTCTGGACTTAATGTCTTGTTTATTGTTTCCTTATTAAGTTTATAGGCAAACCCAGGGCGCTTTAATGTCACATTACTTCTGCTTTTGATACATAAAACTCATTATCTTAACGACCATAGGAGGTCCCTCTTTAGGAAAATGCAAATGTTGGTAGATTTATGTGATGAACCAAGAACTGCTACTGTTGCTGAGGACAGTTTCCAGTAAAACGTATCTATGCTACGAAACAACTGGAGTCCAGCTCCCAGTTTATGTGATCTAATGTGACATATTTACACACTGGAGTGGACTCACTAATGGGAGTGTTTTGCATGTTGTTTGACAAACGAGTTTCTCCCTGAGGCTCACGGGGCGACTTTTGTGTGACACATCAGACCTGAGAGAAAGAAGAATACCTCCAGCTGCTGCGGAGCTTTTCTGCACCCCTGATGGATGAACTGGAGCAACAAGCTCTGCCTGCTGGTCTGAATGCTAAAATGTAAAAATCAACATTTCCTCCTCACATAGATCCACTTACTCACATACCATGATGTTAAAAAATCTACATGGAAATAGGATTTCTGGCTCCTGTTTGGGTTTAGATTATAGCTTCTGTTAACACTGCAAAAACAGCCCTTCTAAAAAAAAACAGCCAAATATTCTTAAATATCTGTAATCTGCCAGTAGGGTAAACCAATTTTGCTTGGCTCCAATTCTTAAAATCTAGCCACTGAAAGACTGTAATGGGCCTTAAAACGAGACAAAATGCCAAAAATGTGAAGCAATGAAAACTAAGTTATTTAAGATTTTATTAAAATAAGAATTTTGGTCACTTTATTGAGCTGAATTTAGGAATTTGAACTTTAAAATTAATAATTAGCACACACTGGGACAACACTGTTTTCTCTTAAACTGAGAAGTGGTCTCTTAAAATGTTGAAAATAATCTTGTTGCTCTGCTGGGATATTACACAAACCATTGTTGTTACCAGTTCAATATTAGCTGTAATATCATATTAAGTTAGCTAGATTTTCTTAAAACCAAATTTCTTTTAAAATGCAAAACATGCTAGATTTTTCTCTTTAGACAAAAAAATAAGACTCATTTCCCAGAAACATGGCTTTTTTACTTTCTTGAGATCCCTTTTTTGCAGTGAAACAGATAAACCAAACTGTGTGGGAGGGATAAAACCCCGCCAGGGTTTCTAAAAAACATCTCAACCCAAATGAAAAAGAGACAAAACAACCAGATGAGTATGAGAAGTGGAGCAGTCGCCCTGAGACAAAATCTAACCAGTAGGAGTAGGAAGGTAGAATTCCAAAACTGCTTCTTTTTTTCCTCCTGTCAGTTACGTCTAAGTGAAGCTTGGCTCCTTCAGTAGAGTTTGTCAACAATGTTATTGTAGCCTATGAATTATTTATTAGTCAGTTTATTTCAGCTCACATATATTATAAAGCCACAAATACTCATCAGTTATAATATTAATAGATATGAGCTTTACTGTAAAGCCTCTGTTATGTTTCTGTATCGCCTTACACTCATGGGATTGAGATCTGATATCAGTCACCATAAGGCCTGCAACTGATTAGTATTTTCATTCTAAGGGATGTATGATTTAAATAATGACTAATGCCCACCACAATATTAATCTGACAATGACGAATGTCTGTTGTTTGTCAGGCTGATAATTCATCCATCAAATGGTCTAAAGTGTTAATATGATGATGATTTACACTCTGTAACACATCTTATTCATTTCTTCCACCATTAATCGCAGCCCCAGCAGGAGCCTTCAGCGCCGGCTGAGAGAGCTCAACTCACTGCAGCTCACAAAGACCCCTCAAATACAGAAATACAGAAAACCACATCGACAACACTTATATCAAATCCAAATTCAAGCACACATTTACTAATTTCACAGCAGTCAGTTAGGCAAATCAAGTTCATTTTAGTACAAAATCCCCTTTGTATGTATCCACAGATCTGCAGCTGGAATCCTGCTCTCACTCCAAGTCATGAATGTATGAGATCATGCTAGAATCAGGGTTCCCATTCGTTTTAAGAATTCATTTTCCGGGACGAGTTTTTCTTGACAATTCAGGACAGCACACACTCACAAACGGTGGGCAGCAATTAGGTGGTCATCGTTTTGTTCCTTTTTCACAGCAGCCATTTTGCCATGAAATAGTAGGGTAAACACAGGTGATACTAATTATGGCTCTGTTCCATTTAGTGTAGCTAAGCCTTTCCAATGAGCCAACATGCCCCCTCACTCTGTTTGACCTGAATGGAACCTTAATTAGTATCATTGTTTACCCTACTATTTCATGGAAAAATTGCTGCTGTCTATTCACTACAGCTTTCCTCCAACCGTAACATTCATTTGGCCACAGCACAGGATAAAATACAATTAAAATGGTTAGGACAATATAGAATATTTCCAGGATATTTGTTCATTTTAATGTATTTCCAGGTGATTCCATGACTGCAAAAGGTTTTCCAGGTTTTCCAGAACCCTGTAGGATCCATCTTACCAGGCTTCCAGCTATTCGCTTGTGTCAGCATCCTACGAGGAACTACTGGCAGCTACGGCGAGAGCTGTTGGCATTATATGTGTGTGAGGAGCGACTGTTTACCCGAAAAAAGCAATGGCTGCTACTAAAGAGGTCAGAGTAGATGCTAGCATCAGTTCTATAAGATCTGGAAAGTATTTCTTTTTTTTTTATTTCTGTGGCTCAGAAGCAGAGCGGGTCGTTCTTTAATGGGAAGGTTGTGGGTTCGATCCCCAGCTCCTGGTGCCACATGTCGAAGTATCCTTGAGCAAGATACTGAACCCCAAATTGCTCCTGATGCCGTGCATCAGTGTGTGAGTGTGTATGAATGTTTCTGTTTGATGGACTTTGCCATCACTGAGTGAATGTGTGTGAGAGGGTGAATGTGGCACGTAGTGTAAAAGTGCTTTGAGTGGTCGGAAGACTAGAAAGGCGCTATACAAGTACAGGTCCATTTACCATTTACCATTTACAGATTTTCATTAAAGGTCCTGATCACATTACTGCTCCTCAGAGGAAGAACCCTGTAGGTTGACCACATGGTCTTTCCTCCAGCGCCACCCTGAGGACAAACTGCATTTTTAGCTCCATTAGATAAACTGTCAGGATGCTGTTAGTTCATATAGTGGTTGTAAAGAACACTGCAGCCTCTAGGGGTCGCCAACAGGACTTTACACATTTTTAATTATTGAAGGATTTTTATGATTATTGTTTTCATATGATGATATTTTCAGTAAAAAAAAAGAATGACATCAGTTAATCTTCTGCAGATCTATGAAACATTTAGTAAACAGGCGTTTTCGATCCAGATGTTGCCAGCAGCAGTCTTACCTGATGATGTCATCGTTGTGTCCCAGGTAAAACCTCTGGCTGTGCTCTCTGGTGTTGTAAACCACGCCGACCCCGGCCACAAAGTACACCACCTCCTTCCCAGCAGTGTAGTACAGATTATTCCGGCACTGGTGGCCCCGGTACCCGTAGACCCAGTCCAGTCTGAGACGGCATCCCGGGGCGCTCCGGTCCGACATGTTCACTCATCTGACGGCACACAGTGTCCCGGTTCACTTCTGCTGGTTTAAGATCCTCCAGCCCAGAACAGATTTATTATCGATACCTATCGACTGAGCAGGGCCTTTACTAATAATAGGGGTTCATTTGATAGAACATATGTTTTTTAACTTTGGGTTTTTAAAGAGTTTTAAACATCAAATTCATTTCTTTCCTTATTCTCTTTTGACAAAGTCCAAATTAAAGAAGCTACAAAAGTGGACATATAGAGGCAAATCCATCCATCAGCCTAATGTAACAATCTGAATAATCAACAGTTAGGCCTATAACAGCACAGATCCTACAAATCTATCTTTAATCAAACAAGAGGAACATGGAGGCTGATTTCCTCCCTGGAGGTTTTATTGTCCATGTGATTCTTAATAATCAGTTGATAATAATCACAGTAATGTCATTTTAATGCTGGAGTATTCCTGTAATCTGTCTGAAGCAATCAGCCGTGGAACAAAATGACTTTCTGAACTGTTGATGTTCATCCCCTCAGCAGGTGAATTAGATAGCAGCTTCCACATGAGCCCAGAGCTCTTTACTCTCCACCTGCCATCATCATCATCATCATCATCATCATCATCATCAGAGCTGCTGCTCAATGAGAAACCCCCGTTATAGCCCCACAGAGGGTTTCTGACTTCTGTTCTCCTGGTTTGAATATAATATCCCTAAAAGCACTAACAGTGTTTTTATTGTACTCTGTAGAGTTTATAACGATGCCATCATGCCCTGCTGTGTTTAATAGCTACAATTAAGACATGATATGAACTTTGTTTTGTATTTATGATGGGTTTACTTCAGTTTTTCCATCTAAAGGAGCGCACTCTTAGCCTCATTCATAATTTCCGACTCAGCCTGGAATATTTACTGCCCCTGCAGACACAGTGGGCATTATTTACTTTCCCAAAATTAACTAAAACGATAAGGAAAACACAAATCGAGAGACCAGGCTTTCCGAACGCGTCTGGAAAGTTCCCGCAGTGTCCAAAAAACCCCCAAAGAGACAAAAACAGCAACACAACTGATGGAGGATTCTGCTCCTGGAAAATATAATCCCTCCTCACACTAATCCTCGACCTCGCTACCAGCCATGGTTACTACAGCACGGGTGCTTTCTCCTCCTGCATCCCTCGGTGTGCTCACATCATCCCTCCGCGGAATAACGCACAGCGCGGCGGCTCATTCACAAATCTGTGCGTGAGTAAAAATCCACCAGAGTCAGGAGGACAGGGAGCACAATGATCCAGAATCTCAAAATAAAAAGAAGCGGATTATTCCCACTGTGAAATGATCGGGCAGTTCCGGAGAGAGCCGAAGAGAAAGAGGAAGAGAGAGCGACAAAAACAAGTGTTTAATCCCCGCAGATGATCCAACTTCAGCGGGCAGAGGAGGGGAGAAGCCCCGGGTTCAGACCGCAGCATCCCGGCCGGATGACGGGAGAGGAAAGTCCTGATTCCCAGCAGGAGGAGAGCATCCTCCCGCTGCAGCTGAGTCCCTCCACCCACAGACAGACAGACAGACAGACACACACACAGACAGGCAGTTGATCAGACAGACAGACTCGGCTGATCAGTAAACCGGACTTTAGACCCCTAATGGAGACCCTCCCTGACCGCCGAGTCTCACCACAGTGATGTTTGCTCGCTCGTTTTCGACTGAGAAGCAGAAGCATCAAGTTAACACAGAGCAGATCGTTAGCGAGCGTTTCCGGTGTGGAATCTGGAAAAATAAAAGCCCTGTGGGTGAGGAGGGTTGTAGTGGCAACATCCAGAAAGACAGGGAGGAGAGTCAGGGTTAGAGAGTGGTGGAAAGAAGGAAACTATTCTAAATACTAACAGATATTCATTTCTTCTTTCCTCTCCCATCAATCCTCTCACCAGATTTGGAAGGGTCTGATCCCCAGGTTGGGAACCACTGACTGAAAACTATGTAACTGCATATTCAAACTAGCTCCACCTGGAGACACTAAAATGCTGTTTAAAATGAATTGTAGCATTATATTGATAAAATATATGAAGTATTTTTTTCTTTTGATTGGTTACTTTAAGTACATCCTGTTGGTAGTACTTACATTGTTTTTCTTTTTGTTATTTTTCTCAGCAGGTTTTTATTTCAGCTTTCAGCTCTTCTCTCTTGTTTTATGGATAAACAGGAGAATATATTTTTCTATTTTATTTCTTACTGAAAAAAATATGTAGATCTAATCTCTTGGTTTCAATATGACACCGTTTAATCTAAAAATATTACGTTTATGAATATATTCCCGTTTAACAGCTCATTATTGCTAGCTGTCAAATCACGCATTTTATTTTGAAGGTCAAATCTCGACACTTCCGGCCTCATTGTGGTGAACTGTCACGCGCTTGTGGCAGCTCAGACTCGCGAGGTAACCATGACGCACGGAGAGAAAACACCCCGGCTCCGCTGGAGAGGGACGCACGGCCGCAGCGGATTGTGGGACTTTGTGTTTTTGCTGTTAACCGTCATTCATGTGTTTCTACTCAGCGAGGAAGTGAGGAGACGAGCTGAAACTGTGGGAGTGAAGATGACAACTGTATTCCTATAAAACATTTCATCACAAGCAACAAGTACATCAGAAAATAGACATAAAATAAATATAATAAATAATACAAATAGGCTATAGCTATAATAAATACAGAGTAGGCAAAGAAAAGAATATACGGAGGAAAACAACAACAAAAGAAAATGGTTTAAAAACTAAATAATAACCAAATAAAGCAAACAAAACACTGAGGGGAAAGGTGTTCAGAGATTAACCACAATCTCACATTTACAGGTAAAACTGTGAAGCTGATTAGGAGTTTTGGGAGTTCATTAACAATTTTTGAAAAATAGTAAAGCAACATCCAACAGGGCTTCTGAATGGTTTCTCAAAAGCCCTGAATCTTTCTGGCTGTTAAAAAGCTTCAGCTTTGTGTCACTTCTCCTCAGTGTCTGACTGGACCAGAGCAAAAGCTTCACTACAGACGTTCACATGTAGCAGCTAAGACCAATCAGGGGTCTGTCAGACCGATAGTGATTCAGAGGGAAACACTGATGAGCCGATACAGTGAATGTTTTGGCAGGAATGAAAATAGACCTTTTCTGTGTGGACTGTACACTAATATGATTTGCAAAGGAACTCAGAAAGCTGCTTTCGTAATAGATAACTTAATTAAAGAATATTTGAATAAAATAAAATGTATCATGTTCATGTACTCCAGTGTTGGGAGTCACAGCGCACTCTGCTGGATGGATTTTGCAGTGACAATATAATACCACAAAGCATTTTTTTTCTGCATTATAGAAAAAAAACTTTTTATGTCACTGCATATGGGATAACATATACACCAATACCCGTATGCCCCTGCCATAGGCAAATATCGGCCGATATCATCAGCTGTCCAATGTATTAGTCGGGCTCTACTTCTCTCTGTGTACTCTACTCCAGCACAGTTTAACAACAACAGGTTTTAAGACTGGTAATTCTGTTCACACCAAATCCGTACCCTACCTATGTTATGTAACACAGGAGTGTTATTTTCTGGTTTCAGAATCATAAAGATGATTAGAGAACAATTAGATATAAAATAGGATGGATGATTGATGCAGCAAGGACTCATCCTCGGTACATGGGGTGCCGGCACTACTAAGCGAGCTACCTGGGCGTCCCCAGATATATACTTTTAAAACAACATCTGTGTTCCTTCCATCAGGAATTTATATCTGGTTTAATCTCTGAGACAAACACATCAGACAGTAGTAAACAGGGAGATTATCAGAGGGGATTGAGGAAGTGTGAGCAGCGAGGGGCTGATGATCAGACTGACTGAAAACCCTCAAACAGCAGTATTTTCTATTACACCTGTAATGTGGCACTACAGTGGACTGAAGTGGAAACTGTGACCCCTGCAGAGGATCAGACGAGCTTCGTTATAACAGCCTTCCTGGGAATGACTGTTTGTGTTAGTGTGGGCTCATTTACAGTCTACATGCAATGATTGTACCCAATAATACCCTGTACAATAATCTGTAAGACTCACAGAGTGGGTGGATTCAATACCAAGAACATCCTTTAGGGCTTTTGTGTTGCAAGGTGTTCCTGTTACCTTAGAGTATAATGTGTTTTTCTTTGACATGATTATGCTCACTTTTAAACAGATTTTGATTCATATGATACATATTGTAATATATGAGCATTGTCCTTCACTGCCTTCTGTCTGACTGACGTTCAGTTCACAGCAGTGCATTGCTTAGCTTCAGTGCCATCTACAGTAGGTAACACACTGACTATAGATACCTCATACTGCCTCACTTAAAAAAAAAAACTATCCCTGTAATTGCTGTGAGGACAAGATTAACTGAAAGCAACATAGATGAGCATGAGTACGAATTTTATCACCCCTTCTCCCATCTTGAAAATGATGCATTTTTTAAAATGTTTGATTATTCCAAAGAAGTGTATTTTCCATAAAGGGGACTTATATTGCTGGATATGGCTAAACAGTGAGAAAGCTGTTTAGTGAGTTTTAAAAAAGTTAGCTATGTCCTTCCATTAAAGGACTAAAGGACCAGTGTGTAGGATTTAGTGGCATACAACTCCCTGAGTGTTTAAGATGCTGATCAACTGAATGATCAATTCAGTTAGTTTTCATTGCCGTCAGGGAGGTGTCCCAACTTAAACGAGTGCAATAATTTAGTTGAAAGTACCACTACAATTACTTAGTAAATGTACTTGTGTGTTGTGTCTGAAAGGTCCTGAAGAAATCCAGTAAGTGAACCTTGAGTTCAGAATTCATATTCATATTTCCTGTTCACTGCTGTTAGTGTCATAATGATACAGACGTATCAGCTGTTTCACATCCATATCCAGGCCGCACAGTGTGACCTGTTCTTTTGTTGCAGCAGCTGCTTCCATCTGCAGACGTGTGTGTGTGTGTGTGTGTGTGTGTGTGTGTGTTTGTATAATCCCTCATGTTGCTATCAAGGTGAGGACAGATAAGAGGGGAAGTCCTGTGGGAGCAGAGGTTGGATTAACTAAATTAGTGTGTGTGTAATTATGGTTTGCTCTAAACCCGTCTCGACCCCTCAGACTGTCCCAAAGTCCCTTTACACACATAAAGCATGCTGATTCACAAAAACACCAGTGTTTACTTCCAGGACTTCCTACTACCTTCAACCTGGATTCATCTACATTTGACAAACAAATACAGTACAATACTTCAATCTGAAACTTATAAGTATAAAAGATATACATACATCCAATGGAGGCACTCAACTAATACGCAGGCACCTCAACTATACTCAATTTAATGTGGATGTTTTAAAAAGATGGTGCGTTGCCACCTCTGGTACCACTGTATGTGCCACCAAGATCATTTCCGGGCTTCCTATTCATTCAATTTGCCTGGCTGATCTTTATGACCTCTTCTTCTGCAACTATGAAGTTAAAGGACTATCTTGGGATGATGTGCGGGGAGGGTCTTCTTTACTGCTGCCTGTGTGGCACACAGCCTAAACAGGCCACTGCAGTGAGGATTTCCACTCCTTGGTCAAACTAACTGAAGTGAGAGTTTATTTACATCAAAAGCACATGAGAAAGAACAATTCAGAAAAATAATTATACTTGGGATTAAATACATTATTTGTATTGAGTGCACCCTAACCCTCACACTGCAGTGATAAACTATTTAACGAAACAGATTTTGTCACAGAACCTGCTAATCATTAACAGCAGAACACAACAAAAACTGAACTGCCTTTACAACCACTGAGAGATCAAGTTGGTAACTAACATCACAACATCATGTGTGATCCTGTACAGACTGAAGTATCTGGTCAGCAGTGAGAACATTTCTCTAAAGGTCCTTTCACCCTGGACAAAAACCCACTAATATTTGGCTTTTGTCATCAGTGAGAAAAAGGTACAGTCGGGATTCATTCAGACATGGGTATTTATTGGCTCCAGCTCCGATCAGCAGGTTATGTGAGAGGCAACATATCAAAAATGTTGGGCACATCAGGAAAAAAAACAGAAAGGCAAATTCATCTGCTGGCAATAGGAAAGCAGTCTATCGCCTAGTTGTAGCGGACTCACTAATGTTCGAAGGACTTAGTGGCATCTAGTGGTGTAGTTTCAGAATGCGACCAACTCAACACTACTTGTGTCTGTATTTGACGACATAGGAATGAGAACGGGCTGTAAAGTGTGGAGGAGAAACTACGGCTATCGCAAAACTCATGAAAAGTGAACGGCCCCATCTGCAGCCAGTGTTTGATCTGTCCGATCTGAGCTACTGTAGAATACAATAGAATAGAATAAACTTTATTGTCCCCGAGGGGAAATTTGTCTCGGGCACAGTGCTACAGTTTGTTGCTTCACAGAAACAAGCATACCTCAACAGACACTATATATAGATATAAACAGCTCATTCTTAAGGTAACAAAAACACAATTCTCATTTTCAGGAGATTATACACTAATGAAAACATAGCTATAAATATTATATTCTATTTCGGACAATAGATCCTCCTCAATGGTACACACTGGACAGTATTTTAGGTGTAAAACAGGTGGAACAGGAGGAGACTCTCCCTCCTACAGAGAACACAGAGACACTGAGGAACCATACTTGTCAGACCAGAACCTGAACCCAGGATAAAGAGGTTCAGTGAATGTGGTGCTGAAGGTGTGGAGGTGGTACAGTGTGTCAGAGGAGACTCTGTAGAAGGACAGAGAACCAACAGGCCAGTCCACATACACTCCCACTCTGTTAGAAACAGCGGAGGCAGGGATGGAGGTTGCTTTGTTATTGTGCCAGACAGTGTAACGACCACAGGAGCAGGTCAGACTCCAGGACTGGTAATTCCTTCCAAACACACAGCCGTCATCGTTTCCCTTCCTGCTGATTCCTCCGTAACTTACTGATATATAAACCTCTCCTCTCCACTCAACCTCCCAGTAACAGCGACCAGTCAGACCATTCCTACACAGCAGCTGAGGAAAGGAGTCAAATCTGTCCCGATGATCAGGATATGGCAGCTCCTCCTGCACATGTGTCACCTTGCTGTTGTTGTCGGACAGTTTGATCTTTCTGTTCACTGTGTTTGTGTCGAGCGCGAGTTCAGAGAAATCTGACGGAGAGAAGAAGATACAATATAGCTGCAGTTATTAATCTACCATTCATTTATTGTGATTTAGTTTGATGATCAGAGATTTGACTGGTCACAGTTTGAAGATGGTTGAATGTGTGCTATTTGGATTTCATCAATCAAATCAAAAATAAACGTACACTTCCTCAGACCTGGTCTCGACCATCGGACTCCACCAGGCTCCACCCTGAAAGGAGGACCAGTACATCTTTCAGCATGCATGGAAATTACATTGCTCTCATACATTTTCATTTTACAAATGCACTTACTATTAATCAGTTGATAGTCTTTTAATTAAGTGGAGCTTCTTATTGTTTACTCATTATTTTCACTTATTCAGACACTAGCAGTGCCTGTTTGGAACAGGCTGATTCCTGGGCCTCCGGTATCAATACTTGCAGCTTTCTTAATATCTTCAACCAGCACATCCAAAGAGCCCATCCAGTTCTAGACCCACAATTTCAGACATATGCATGTGCCACCAGTTTTATTTTTCCCCTTTTGAAACTTTATTAACAACACAGTAATATTACAATACTCCACCAGTTTTAGTTTATTGAGGTGTTTTCAAAACATAAGCTACATCCACGTAATTATCAGTAATAATTATGATATGAAATAATTATTATTGCTGCTCCTTTCTTAAATAACATTTTAAAAAGTTCCATATGTAAGATTCTGGAGCATTTCCGTATTATTTGTATTTATTAATCACTTTTCATAGCAAATGAGTAAACTGGTTGTTACGCAACTTAAAAATGACACCTTGCCTGACTTTCTCTCTTGACTTTATAGGTTTTTCTATCCAGGGATGCAGATCATATTTTCCACAAAAATTCAAATGATGTGACGCTTATGTGCACTCCCAAGTGCCTTCTCTTTACTAACAGTATCAACAATGTGCAACACTAGCTAATGTTTGCTTATAAATCCATGAATCAAATGCTTTTACCTGCACCAACTTATTTCTTTGTCCAATTGGGGGCTATTAAAACAATTCAAGTCCGTCTGCAGCCACAGAGTCCTGCCTGTGTCCTCCTATAATTTTGGTATCGTCCTAAATAAAGCTCTTAGGGCTCTGAGACACCAGGTGGACATCAGTTCTTCACTGAGCGTCTGTGGCTGCCTGTCACCTGTATCTTCTGTGCTGAGTCCCTATAACAAGTTGGCTCTAATCAGTGAGGGATCTTGTCTTTTCACAATAATTCATGGACTAAACTGCAACACACACTGGTGGCAGATGACATTTATCAAAACACCTGTTTGACACAAACACTATTGTTTGTTTTGGCACATCCAGGCTATTGTTCCCTCACTACTTCTGTCTGTATTGATCGTCTGGTAGTCAGTGTTTATCCACTTTGGTTGTTTGAGGTCAGCTTGGTGTGTCAGGGACATATGAGCCAGTTTCCAGCTCCTCCTCCTCTATCAGAATGATTGTTTGTGGCTGCTGAAGGCCTCTTCTTACCTGAGAGTGTCCAGTCTCCAGCTCTGATCCTCTAATCCAGCAGAAAGCAGCCTCACTGCCGAGTCTCCTGGATGATTGTATCTCAGGTCCAGCTCTCTCAGATGAAAGGGGTTGGAGCTCAGAGCTGAGGCCAGAGAAGCACAGCCTTCTTCTGTAATCAAACAGCCTGACAGCCTGCAAACACAACACACAAAAACATGTCACATAATCTGAGGGTACTGAAAGGGCTGCAATGCCTTAGTACTAACACCTACTGTGGGGTTGAGCTTATTACTTTTATCATTAATATCCATCAACAATCACACATTACTGGAAGAAAACGGTGTTCTCATCCATTCTGCTCACAAGACATAAAAAAACAGAACACTTCTTATACCATGGGCTGGGTTAATACTTGACTCTTAATACTTGACTGAATTTTTATGAATCTTGCGAGCATAACATTAGCTCTCTGTCTCGTAGCTGACCCAAAATGTTAGAAACTCCAGTTGCCAAGTTGTATCTATACAACCTTATGAGATGGTAAGGATTCTTCCAGGTATTAGGAAGGACCTCAGGTGTTACCAGGGAAATCGTAAAACTAGTGCTGTCAAACGATTAAAATATTTAATTGCAATTAATCGCATTAATGTCAAAGTTAACTCGCAATTAATCGCACATTTTTATCTATTCTAAATGTCCCTTGATTTCTTTTTGTCCCATTATTTTTTCTCATTTTAATGCTCTTATCAACATAGAAAAGTGGATCGGCTTGCTTTGTGCAAATGTTGTTTTTATTGAAAACAACATTTGCATATACTGTAGAGTTCTCAATTGGAGCAAATAATCTCTCACACAATGTAACACTGTCCATCAATAAAAGGGTGAAAAAAATACTTTGTCACACAAACAGCCCCTTCAACAGCCCTTTCTAAGGGATCAAAACAGGGCGATACAAAATAAAATTACAAAGTGCACATGTAAGATAAACTAGGACTCAGCCTATAGTGCAGTTAAACCATGGCTTAATACTTTCCTCAGGTTTGCTTTGAACATAGCAGTCAGGCTACGGCTCTTTATTCACCAGAGGCTCAACCCAGCCTCTTATTTCAGAAAGAATGAACAGTAACGGTTACCAATAAAAGGTAAGCCTACTACTTCTTTGCTTTGAGCCAATTACTCAAACAGACAAGCCTGTTGACATTTTCAGACAACAAGGAATCCATCAATTTCGCGATACAAAAATTGACGCCTTTAAAATGGGTTTGCGTTAACGCCGTTAATAACGCGTTAAACTGACAGCACTAGGTAAAACACATTAAAATATAAAATAATGATTTATTTTTTTGGCAAGTGACCATGGTATACCACGGTACATTGCCCTTCGAGATGTCCATAATCATGAATGGACGCCCCGGAGGCCAGGCCCTGTGTTGCACATCAGGTTGTTGCTTACATGATAATGGACACCTCGTCTGGCATTATCCCTCCATGTTGCTGCTTCATCAAGAAACCACCAGGACTATTATAATGGTTTCATTGTGAAGCAGCTGGAGCTTCCTGTAGCCTTTGTCATGGTGATATTAGTGACTGTTAACTTATGTGTAAAGGCAGTTCTATATAAAGACATTTTAGAAAAAGAAGCAGTCAGTGAGCTGATTAGATGAAGAAGAGCTATAACTGTTTGCTTTAAGATATCTCCAACTTCAGATAATACGAGTCATTACATTATGTAATTTCTATTTCATTGGCAGCAGAACGTACGTTCATGGAAAGTAAGTAAAGGGAAATGGTGATCAGATGAACGGATGGATGAATGCTGACCTGAGAGTTTCCAGGGTACAGTGTGGATTCTTCAGTCCAGCAGACAGAAGTTTGACTCCTGAATCCCGCAGGTTGTTGTTACTCAGGTCCAGCTCTTTCAGATTAGAGGACTGGGAGCTGAGAACTGAGGACAGAGCTTCACAGCTTCTCTCTGAGAGGTTACAGTCACTCAGTCTAGGTACAGTAAAAAGGAAAATAAAAGTAGTAAGGTTTTAATATAGCAGACTATTTAAAAAGTGACAAATAAAAACTACTTTTGTACTTTGAAACTTTACATTGTTTTGTTGGAGGCTTTGACCACTGGCAGCAGCCTCAGAAGAGCCTCCTCTGAATCAGAGTATTTCTTCAGGTCAAACACATCTAGATCTTTTTCTGATGACAGTAAGATGAAGACCAGAGCTGACCATTGAGCAGGAGAGAGGTTATCTGTGTGGAGACTTCCTGATCTCAGGGACCGCTGGATCTCCTCCACTAGAGAACGATCATTCAGTTCATTCAGACAGTGGAACAGATTGATGCTTTTCTCTGCAGAGAGATTTTCCTCAATCTTCTTCTTGATGTACTGGATGGTTTCCTGATTCGTTTGTGAGCTACTTCCTTTCTGTGGCAGCAGGCCTCGTAGCCGAGTCTGACTGGTCTGCAGCGAAAGACCCAGGAGGAAGCGGAGGAACAAGTCCAGGCGTCCATCTGGACTCTGTAAGGCCTCGTTCACAGCAATCTGGTAGAAGTACGTCACTGCAGGTTTGTCTTTTTGTGTTTCAGAGTTCTGGGATGTTGTTAGTTCTTCTGAAAGCAGGTTGACACCAGAGTTTGTGAATGTCAGATGGACATGAAGAGCAGCCAGAAACTCCTGAACGGTCAGATGGACAAAGCAGAACACCTTTTCCTGGTACAGCCCTCTCTCCTCTATAAAGATCTGTGTGAACACCCCTGAGTACACTGAGGCTGCTCTGATATCAATGCCACACTCTATCAGGTCTGATTCATAGAAGATCACGTTGCCTTTCTGCAGCTGCTCAAAAGCCAGTTTTCCCAGAGACAAAACTATCTCCACGGTCTCTGGACCTTTCTCAGCTCCTCCATCATACTTGACTTTCTTCTGTTTGGACTGAACCACCAGGAAGTTGATGTACATCTCAGTCAGGGTCTTGGGCAGCTCTCCTCCCTCTCTGGGTTGCAACACATCCTCCAGAACTGTAGCAGTGATCCAGCAGAAGACTGGGATGTGGCACATGATGTGGAGGCTTCGAGATGTCTTGATGTGGGAGATGATTCTGCAAGCCTGCACCTCATCTTTGAATCTCTTCCTGAAGTACTGCTCCTTCTGTGGGTCAGTGAACCCTCTGACCTCTGTTACCATGTCAACACACTCAGGAGGGATCTGATTGGCTGCTGCAGGTCGTGAGGTTATCCAGAGGTGAGCAGAGGGAAGCAGGTTCCCCCTGATGAGGTTTGTCAGCAGCACATCCACTGAGGTGGACTCTGTAACATCAGTCAGGATCTCAGTATTGTGGAAGTCCAGAGGAAGTCGACACTCATCCAGACCGTCAAAGATGAACACAACCTTGAACTCTTCAAACCTGCTGATTTCTGCTACTTGGTTTTCAGTAAAGAAGTGCTGAACAAGATCCACCAGGCTGTACTTTCTCTCTTTCAGCACATTCAGCTCTCTGAAGGTGAATGGAAATGTGAACTGTATGTCCTGGTTGGCTTTGTTTTCAGCCCAGGCCAGAATGAACTTCTGGGTCAAGACTGTTTTCCCAATTCCAGCCACTCCCTTTGTCATCACTGTTCTGATTGGTTCTTCTCTTCCAGGTGGAAGTTTAAAGATGTCTTCACATCTGATGGTTCTTTCTGGTCTGTAAGGTTTCCTGGATGCTGTTTCAATTTGTCTGACCTCATGTTCATTATTGACCTCTCCAGTCCCTCCCTCTGTGATATAGAGCTCTGTGTAGATCTGATTCAGAAGGGTTGGGTTTCCTGCTTTAGCAATCCCCTCAAACACACACTGGAACTTCGTCTTCAGGTTAGATTTAAGTTTACGCTGGAAACAAACTGGAACAGGATACCCTGAATGACCACACAACAAGAAAAATTTCAACATTTAATTTCCTCAAAGAATGAGTACATTAATAAATTATATTTTCCTCCATATTTTGAGACATCAGTCCCATGTTCAAGCTTCAGAGAAATCATCTTACTGCTCTGCAGACGGTCAGCCAGCTCCTCCTGCTTCATTCTCCTCAGGAAGTGCAGTGTGATTTTCAGAAATGCCTCTCTGCTGCTCCTCCTCTGCTCTTCCTCCTCATCCTCCTTCTGACTCTCTAAGCATTCTGGGTCATCTAAACTCAGAGCCCTCTCGATCTTCTTCAGCTCGTTCTTCACAAAAGTGACAATGTTCTCCTCCAGCAGCTGGAACAGAACATTATATGAATTGCACAATCAAAATAAAATCATGGAACCAAACATCAAGATCCATGTTGGACAGACTGACAATCCACTGGTCTAAGACGTGCAGCATGAAGGTTATTGTGAACAGAATAGATGTAAAAGTAGTTGTTGTACATGTACAGACCACAAATATGGAGTCCAGGTGTGTCTGATGCTTCTGGGCCGACTGAGTGCTGGGATCCTCTGAGCCCTCCTGGTCCACTCTGTGGAGGAGACATGAAGAATTAGCTCACAGTATGTCTGTACACTAGGGAATTAATTTGATTTTATTCATACCAATCCTTTTATCAATTCTGGTTTCTTATATCTGAGTCTGAACACAGTTTAGAAACAGAATAGAAAAGGAGGCATGCATGTGACTAGTGTGCAAAAGCTCCACCGTATAACTGCTGTTTAATTTGGAACTCATTCTTGATTCCCATCCCAAAACATTTGTACAGCATTTGTTTTCATTTAGGTCTTCAAGTCAAAGAAAAAAAAATGTCTACGCCTGTTATCCTGTTATTGTTATTATAACAGGATATTCACCCTTGCTAACGGATGTGCTGCTTGGTTGGTAAGAAGTGGCACTAATGTGTAGAGTGTTAAATACAATCCTGCTGGTGTTTCCACCCTTACTTGGAGTATTCATTTTACGGACATTACAACAAGCACAGTTGTCATCTTTCTTTGTGAAATGAAGCCACACTGTGGACGGTTTCTTCCTCTCCGCTACGACTCCTTGTTGTTGCAAGTTTCTCTGCTGCTCCTTCTCTGCTCTTCCTCTATGCATGAGTTTGACGTCATTGCTTTTGCAAAGCACAAGTGTCAGAAAAACATGCCGGCATCGTTATAATAATCGTTAAAAAGAAACTGATGTACTTGGATTCTGATTGGTTGGACAACTTGGAACTGGTTCTCAACTGAAAGCGGTTCTTGATTTCCATCCCTACTGTCCAGAGATAGACAAACACAAGATCCTTACAGTGATATTTGGATGTGAACAGTGAATCAGATCACTTTAGTGGTAAAAGTCTAATAGTCTTGCTAATCCCACTGAGAATGAACAGCTCAGTCTACAGCTGTTGTTGCTTTCACTTTAGTGTTTTGCTTCATTAACAGATCCCAACAGATCTCACCATCCCCTTCATATATCTCTCCCTCCCCCTCCGTACACTGCTGAAGTGTCCTGGAGCAAGGCACCTGGAACCTCCAGCTGCTCCAGTAGAGCTGTTCAGTATCTGCTTGTATCAAACTGGCTGTAGTGGCTAGCTCTCAGATTGTCTGGCAAGTGAGTAAGTGACAACAAGGAAACACCCAAATGCAAACAAGCAGGCACAGTTCAGTGGTTTATATTGGGGAAGTGAAGAAACAAATGCTTATAAGGTCTGAACAGGAATGGGGCAGATAAAATATAAAAAGGCAGGCAGGTCCAGGGTCAGGTTTCAGAGGGTAGAAAGCAATGGCGCAAAGCAACATTGATGTTCTGGCAAGAAGCAGGCGGAGATAAGGCTGGTATACTGTAAATACTGTGTGAGTCATTGAGAATAAGGAACAGGTGAGCAGGTGGATGTGGGATCCAGGTGACTGGGACAGGTGTGAAAGGACAAAGGACATGGGGGGGGGGCTTGACATAGGGACAGAGGGGCAGACTGAGGGGAAAAAACAACTGAGTCAGAAGCAAGAGAGAAGAACATATGAAAAGTTATCATGTCTTCACACTCTCTATGGTGGCTACAGATATAGAAACACTTCAGATGTGGTCTTACAAAATAGTTCTTTTCTAGCATACCCCAACTCTTCCAGTCAGGTACAGCTTACATCTGATCAGCAGATGGAGGTCGTCCTTTAAAGTCAATGATCTCGTTTTTTGACCAGTCACTCTTCAAGGACAGACAGCTGGATTCAGTGGAGCCGGATGTCTGCTGCTGGACACTGAAACAAAGACAGCACAGATAAATGTTTGTGGGATAAAAATACTGTATGTGAATGTAGTCAGTGATGGTAGAGTGATTTGAGTGCTGAGCTCTGACATAGAAAGAAGTGATAGACAGATCCTCATCTCACCTCTGAGCTTTGGTCCCTGTGTCATGTTCCCCACACAGAGTGCTTTTAGAGGGAGGGGCTCCCTCCTCTCTGTCCTCGCACGGATTCATAGTCACACACCACCAGTCCACACCTTCACCCAAACACAACAACCTGCCGGGAAAGCTCACACATTATTTCTCATCATTGCCTTCAGTCACATGACAAATACACACAGAGCGGTGACTGCAGGAAGCAGCTCATTCAGATCAATACTGAATACACTCTGACAGTTTCCATGGCAGAGTAGAAATGTTGTTGGCACTTTGAGCTGCAGTGTCACACTGTATAAACAGTTTTCTATCAAACCTAACCCAAAGCACATTTCTCTAATAAACAACAAAAAGGCATGAATGGATCAAACTAAGGCAACTTTTCAAAACAAATATTCAGATAAAGCAGGGATTGTGTCTGGTAAAAGTACATTGCATAATGAAATGCATATGTAACCGAGTAAAGTCTTAAGAGAATATACCAGATATCACTACAGGTACTGACAACACCACCTTAGGACCTTCACCTAAAGAATATACAATAAGAGTAGTAATGCTTGTACAAGAGGGTTCCCCTTTAAATTAATTAACACAGGTTAGTCCACAAATGAATACAGAGGCAGACTATAAATAGATAACAATCTTACATACACATACACACACACATAGACATACACATACACATAGACACATAGACATACACATAGACATACACATACACACACATAGACATACACATACACATACATACACATACACATACACATAGACATACACATAGACATACACACAGACATACACATAGACATACACATAGACATACACATAGACATACACACAGACATACACATAGACATACACATAGACATACACACACACACAGACATACACATACACATACACACACACATAGACATACACATACACATAGACATACACATACACATAGACATACACACAGACATACACATACACATACACACACATAGACATACACATAGACATACACATACACATACATACACATAGACATACACACAGACATACACATAGACATACACATACACATAGACATACACACAGACATACACATACACACACACATAGACATACACATACACATAGACATACACATACACACACACATAGACATACACACACATACACATACACACAGACATACACATACACATACACACAGACATACACACAGACATACAAACAGACATACACATACACACAGACATACACATACACACAGACATACACATAGACATACACATACACATCACATACCTGGATGCGGAACCGGAAGGAGATGGCTCACCTGTAGCGGAAACCTCCGAAGAGTATTATTCCGCTGCACGTGATTGAGGAAACGCTCTAGGTTACCAAGGAGACGGCAGAAAGGGGCGTGCACCTGTAACCACCGGTTACACATATTTTTTTTAAAAAGAGTACAATTACAGGCTCATAAAAGTAGCCTACAAGTATTCAAAACGACTTAATTATGCTAACGTGAGTAGCTGTAGTTAGTTTCTTCTATCGTTGTACAATATGTGAATATTAATATATATTAATATATATTATATGGACAAAAAGCCATTCAAGAGTCAAACCGTGAGTGAGAAAGTGTCGCTTTCAAGCCTTTAGGTGGAGAGAAATGGAGATGAAGTTGAAATGGACGAGGCCTCCTTTAAATGAGTGTTCCTCGTCATGGAGGAGGATTTGGCGCCCTCTGCTGTCACAAACATGAAGTGCATCCTGTCAGTTGCAGTGACACAGATTACAGGCTGTTTTCAATCAACCAAAGATCAACAGTTCATGATCTTTTTGTCCCGATGTTACATCATGTTTGGACTTCTTTAATGAACACTGTCTTTGTCTTTAAGAGTGAAAGCAGAACTGCTGAATGAAACAGAAATCAAATTCAAACTCCTAATTTGTACCATTGTTCACCAACAGTGAGGTCCAAAACCACCTTTACAGTAGCATTAATACTTTTAAGCTGTTCACATTTTTACTAAATTCCTAAACACAAAGTATACATAACAACAATAACAGGCTATAATTACAAAAAATACCTTTGTCCTTTTTAACTTTACCAAAATATATATATATATATATATATATATATATATATATATATATATATTCAGTATTATCCTGGTAACATGACTTGAATAAACGACTTAACAACTTTACATAACCGTGCTTCACAAAGCTTTGGCAAAACAAATACAAGACAGAGGGTATAGGAGCTGGGACCATAAATAAAAAAGTATTGAGAGTAAGTAAAAACTCAGTTTCTTAACAAAGCAAACTACTGGTTTACACATCAAACGTTGTCAAAACAACATAATGAAGGGTTTAAAAGTCCTTATAAATGCATTGTGACAAGCTATGACACTACTAACCTGTTTTGTAGAGGAAAAGCAGAGACAGGAAACGTTACTTGTGATCGCTCAGCAGGATGTCCTCTGTTTGAGGAGCGGAAGCCTCACGCAGCCCTACTGGCGCTCACCAAGGTCGACACTCCCTCTTGAGGCACAACTGGGGAATTGCACTTTCAAGATTACTACTTCAATACCTTGTAACAATTCATTAACATTTGACCTTTTTCACTGGCTAATGCACAAATCATTATAACAATTGTGACTTTACCTTTGTAGGCATCACACTAATACAGGAGAAATATTGTCTCTTTTCGTAGTTCCTGTCAGTACTCGTGCTGCAGCGTTCTGGATCAATGGGACAATCTTAAGGAACTTGCTGGGGCAGCCTGATAATAAGGATTTGCAGTAATCCAGCCAACAATTAAACAAATGCATGGACTAGTTTTGCATCCTACTGTATATATCAGTCATTTGAATTGCTTGACAAGCCTGTGAGCGGTGATTCGGAGGTGGAGCAGGAGGAGGTTATGAATTAATTTCACACACGAGACAACAAACAGTCTGGTTCATTTTAAAAGCATTTTAATGGCTTTTTGCACATATGTAACAGAGATGGGGAGAAGTCTACGGGTGCAGATCCAACTAGCAGTGACCCCTGGTCCACATCACATTGACTACCACCTACAAATCCCAGCCCCGCCCACCCCCATCGTGGCATTGTTGATTGTGCATGAAGAAATATCTCGTTACTATGGTTACAGTGACAGAGGAATGCACACTATATTCATCAAATTGCCAGAGAATGTAGCAAAAACAAAGAAAAAAACAGGAACCATTTCAGGACCAATCACCAAGTGAAGAGTTACTTGAAGTGTTTCAACAATGTAAAGCCCGTGTCCCACCCAACCAACCCCACCACCAGCTGTGGAAAAATAAACTTGTACACTTTAGGGCTCATTCCTGCTGTTTTGCTCCCACTTTTCCTGGTATGTACGGAGGTTCATTAATGACAAAATTTAATGTGAGCACAAAACAAATTCAAGCTTTAATCAAGCAGGTTTTTAAAGTTGGGATTTGTAGTTCAGCTTGGAATGTAAATTAATATTTTCCGGCAGCTGTTTTGGCAGATTTTTTTAAAATGTGAAAACATGCTTCCATAGCATACATCCAATTCAGGCTGTTATAATCTCATATTTGACATGATTATGAAATCCATCCAATCGTCTAACAGCCACACCATCAATTATCATATATGGTGAAAATTTGGCCTGATTATAAAATTATCAATAATAAAAAAAAATCCTTTGGTAATTTTAGGTGGTAATTACAAATTCAGGGTTAAATTTGGGCTTCACCCTATATCTAGTGTCTGCCTAGCTTTTGAGTGCTCAATAGTGCCATGAATCCCCGAAACCAGCTTCTTTTATGTTTTGAAACTCTATTAGATATTTTGGCATTAGAAGGTGCTATTGGCTCAAATATCAAAATTCAGTGTTTCATAGTTTTGGCACACAAGGTAAACAAACTACCAAGACTACAGCATGCAAATTTTAAGATTACATGCGACTTGAAGTCTGTAAAGTCTCAAAACATTGACAAGTCATAATTAGAAACTGTCATGCTTACATGCTCTCAAATCTCGACTTGCAGATTGATTACAGCTCAAATTTCTTCAGTTAATTTTGTCATTTAAGAACTTCCATATAGGACAAGTAACTCAACAGATTTCACTGTGAGGTCACCGGCGGCAAAAGTCTGAATTCTTAAAAAAAAATTGAGTGCTGAAGCCAACAAGCAAGCGACCATTATTCTGCAACATTACTCACTTCCAGTAAATGCTTTTTAGAACCAACTTGTCCACTTAACAGCAATGCTTAAAGTAATTTTGTTTTTATAGTACATCTACGTCTCCATACTTGTCAGACTAAATAAACCTTAGACATAGCTTAACTGTGGAACAGAAAATACATACTGGAGGAAACAAAAACATATTCCAAATAACTAAGGGCAGAAATAAATGTTTCAAAAACGGAACGAGTGGAAAATAAAACTTACTGGATGCTTTTAAGTTTGAATTAACAAACATTCTTACTGGTCTTAGTTATTTATTCATCCATCGAGTTTGCGCCGACTCGATAGCTCCTTCATTCAGATTTGTTAAGTGTACATATCGTTAGCTTTTCAGGTACAGAAAGTTATACTCAAATGAAGCTTATAACGGGTGGTAGGTCTTATTAGTAGTAATAATAATTATAATAATAGGTGAAATTAAACACAGGTTTATTTTTTAACAGTTTGTTATACACAAGTTATACATACAGTTCAAAGCACCGCAGGGTAACGCTCCAAATTACAACCACTTTCTGTACTTTCTGTGATGCTGCAGGAATTAGACAGCACCAGAACTTAACATAATGAAGATAATTTGCTTTTCACAGGTTTATTGCGCAAATGTAACCAACAGAAAAGCAGAATTATTCAGTGCACAAAATGTGTTTAGTTTTCCAGAACACACAGCGCGCTCGGGGTTTTCTGCTCTTCAACACAGAATGTTTTACATTTAGCACTTTCACAACACCATTCTGTACTTTTTGTACTTTCCCACAGTTTTAGACATTTCAGCTCAATTTACAAACATGTGAGAGGTGTAATTTCCGAGATTTACCCCGCTGTGGTCTCAGTTTTCCCCACTACAGAGGGATACACGTCATCTTGCAAAGACAAGGCCTCGCAAAAACTGAGGATGGACCCTAACAGGAACTACCTACAACTTCCTAAAAAAAAAAAACGACTCGGGAGCGTAAACACAACCCACAAAAGGCAGTAGTTGACGAAAAACTGGGATGAGAGAAAGCAGAGAAGAAAAACAAAAACAGTAGATAGAAAACACAAATAATAGCAATAAGAAGAATAAACAGGAATATTCTGGGAACTCCTCTACATCGTGTTGTTGTTCAGCGGCAAACTCTGGTTTTTATTTTTATGACAGCAGCTGCCTGAAGCGTTTGCAGACCCCATTTAATTATTATTTTTTTCCTTCAACCCGATCTTTTTTTTATTTGTTTTTCCTGCTCCTTATCTTACAAAAACTGAACAGAGGATACAGGTGGTGTGTTGTAGCTGTACTGTAGCTCTGAGCCAGACCGGACGGTTGATAGGCACAGAGTGGAGAGTTTTGGCTCGGAGCTTGCATGCTGGAGTCACGCTTTGAGAGGAAGAGGAGGAAGAGGAAGAAAGAATAGAAGGAAGAGAAAGACTGGCTGTTTGGGATTGTTTTATCTTACATAGCAACTGCGGGATACTGTAGGAACTGTCCACATCTTTAGATGAGTTAAATGTTAATAAAAACTGGTGATGAAGACTGTTTTTGCTCATCGAATTACATTGTTATGATTTGATGTTATTACATTTAGGATATTAACAGTTAATTTAAGTCCATTTAGAAATAAGTTGAATTACATTTAGAGCTATTAGTTTTTAGTTATTACAGTATCAGTTGCTACAAGCTGACTCTAAACCGATAATTCGGTCAGTTGACGTGGACATCTTCAACAAATATTTGACCGGAGGTGGATCGATAATGAGGAGCGACCCCAAACAGCACCAGAGGGGAAGAGGAGGAAGAGGAGGAGGAGGGAAGGAGGAGTGTCTATTTCTTCTTGCTGAACAGACTGAAGCGTTTCTCCTTGTCTTTCTCTCGTTTGCCCGGGCTGGACTCGGCCGCCGTCGTGGCCGTGGCAACGGAGGCCGGCAGCGTCTGAGCGCGTGCGGCGGGGGCAGGCGTGCTATGACTGCTGGGAGTGACCTCTGACTTGTCGCCCGACATGGCGGCCGAGATGGCCGAGATCCACATGTTCATCTCCTCCTGGAGGACAAAGAGAGGGAGGGGTTAGTAGGAAGAGTAAGTAATTAATGGACAATATTTGTACAGGAGTTCATTTATTGACAAATACATAAATAAACAACTTAGATATATGTTTTATAAAAGCACTGTAAACCATTTATTAATTCTTTATATACTGTTACTAACAGGGGGACTAAAAGTGTTGTTGGGAGATACAAATAAATGAATAAATATATAAAAAAGAGCTGTTTAAAGCTTAAAATGAAAACCAAATTAAAATAAATATTTTCAAACAAACAAATTAAAATGATAGATTACAAAATAAATACATAATAATAAATAAATACATAAAAAAATCTGCATAAAAAGTGATAAAAAATTATAACATACTAATGGTATGGTAAATAGAATAAATATAACAATGTTATTGGAGAACAGAAGGAGGACTTCAATAATGTTTATCACTGTAAATATAATGAATAAAAGTGGGTGAAAGGATTTTTTTCTTTAACTTACATCATCTTTGGCTTGGAAGAGATACTCATTCCCGTCAGTAATCCTGTGGAAGGCAGAGAATGTATTCAATAATGATCAGTGTGAATATGTAGATGACAGGACTTCACAGTTGATGATTTAAAGCCTCACTGATTAATACTGTCTGATGGATTTTGTCATTCTTATTACTATTGTGCTTTGTCTTACTGTTATTGGGCGGATAATCCTGCTTTAACTTTTGAAACTACAGTTACTATAATTTGGTGGATGTAAACAGGAAGTATAATGTTGCCATGGAGACAGTGAGTTCCTGTTTACAGTGTACCCATGGACCCACAGACAACCATCACTGGATTGTTTGGATACTGAAGAAAACTTAAAAACAGGATGATTCTCAGTTATCCAAATTCTCAGTTTCAAAGCAGATATATGGATGTCTATACATGAAGGACATTGGATATAATGTAACACTGAATCTACAAATATTGTTTCAGGTCTTTGTGTTAAGATGTGACTGAGTTAGGACTCTGACAAGAAGTCACTGTTCTCTTTATTAAAGGGAACAAAGTGACAGATTTGCAAACTAAATGTGTTTCTCAGTTCAGCTTTCAGTTCAAGTACAGCTCAACGAAGAGTTGTCATCGTCAGGATGCTCACTTGAGCTTGAAGACGTGTTTCTTCTTCTTGTAGTCCAGCGCCACCTCGCAGACGGCGTCCTTCAGGCTGACTGGAATCTCACTGTGGTAGGGAATGCCCTGACTGGCGCTCTTCTGATCCTTGTAGAAACCCATCTCCTGCTGATTGATCACACAGTACACATTGTGCCACGACCTGCAGGGACACAGCAAGAGTCGGATCATTTGTCATTATCTTCAAAGCTACCAGGTTGGTAGGGAGGGAGTACGCCCTTTCATATATTAAAGATTCTTTTGTCAAGCAGGCACAAACTATTTCTGCTAAACACCTTCATCGGCCGATATTCACTGAAAAAAAACAGTTTTGGTGTAAAAAGCCTGCATATAACGGTTTCGGGTGATATCGGTATCGGAAATTGAGAGTTGGACAATATCGGAATGTCGGATATCGGCAGAAAAGCCAATATTGAGCATCCCTACTTCATTGTTTATAAGAAACAGTTGCAGCATTTCCTCAGTAGTCCCACTTCACTAATTGGTTGGTTGTGGTATCAGAAGGACAACTGATGGTTCTCTCAATATGTCATTACAATCCTCTTTAAAGAAGCAGGATTTTAGACATGAAGTGGAGAGACTTTAGATCAGGGTTAGCAGTAACAGTCGGAATCTTTGTGTTACAGTTTGAATTAAAACACAAATGTAATTAATGTGGAATTTTTACAATACATATGTTTAAAGGCTGTTTTCTCAAAATTAGTCCCTGAGGGCTTTATCATATAATATAATTCAAAGCCTGATTTATATCACATTTTATTCCGAAAAACATGGCAAAAATATATATCTTTTATTTCTGTTGAAAGTATTTTTTGATTTATGGAGTGATAAAAAAAATACCCTTTAATTAGTCAACAAAAGCAGAGTGATTTTTGAACCTGGCTTTATCAAATGTTTTTTAACCAACATTTTTTAAATTTGAAAATGCACAGTTAAACGTAACATTTCAGGAAAATTTTTATAAAAAATACATTTTACTTCATGTAATCAACGGGGGAGGTTTCATGGTGATATCTATTAATGTCTACCAAATAGAAAACTTTGTTTTAAAAGTTATGAAAATAAAGTGCTGTGCCTTTCATTATGTTAAGAGAATCACACAGTCCACCTAAAGCAGTAGAGACACTTCTTGGTTGTCAATCACCAGACGATTCCTACCTGCTTGAAGCCTTCTTGTTATGCCCCTCCCACTCGTGTTTGCGGTGCAGGAACCCCTCCAGCTGGGACGTGGGGGCGTCCGGCTGGGTCTTGGCCGGTAGGGTTGCAGCCTGGCTGGCCTTGCCCTTCCGGGAAGCACCGGGAGACCCGGCAGGGCTGGGCTCCGACACCCCATTCACCACCTCACCCCCTTCAACGTTATCCTGCAAACAGAAGATAGAGAAGAGTCAGAGGAGGACTGTGGATTGATGCATCTCTCTCACATACATTCTTTTTTATCTTTCTCTCTCAGACAAAGAAGCTGTAAATCAGAATTATCAGAGCTGCAGCATGCAGAGCAGGGCAGAATCACAGGCTGTGTAGACACTTTGAAATTCTCTAAACTTACCCCAAACAGGCACCTGAATGAATAGACGTGGTGTTTTGTACCGTCTTTTTGGTGTTTGTCTGCAACCTTTATGACTGCCATGCTTTCATACTGACCTTTTTCCTCTGAAGCTACTCAGGCTACATACAAACTGCTGACAAAGTCTGAACTAACTGTACACAACCCTGGGAGCAACATATACATAAGTGGATTCAGACAGAGAACATGCTTTCTCATCAAACTGCAAAATAACACATTTTAAATACCAAATTTCGATATTTTTCGAAAAACATATTGAGTGTAATCTTTGAGGCTAACAACCATAATGTAAATAAAACTAATATTCTGCGTTGGCGAACACAAGCCGGCAACCAAATGTATCCTGAAGAGATGAAACGTATCTAAAGAACACAAGACTAAACTAACTTCAGAAACCAGAAGGGATTCCAAGTCACCACAATTCATAGGCAAGTCTCATATCTTAAAACTCAAGTCCCAATCAGTCACAGTAGTTAAGTATTATATTAGTTTTTGAGACCCTATTAACCATCTCCGACCCAACCCTACCCTTCCTAGATTAATAGTTTAGTCAATTAAATGATAAAAACATATTAGAATATACAAAGCATGTAATTTCTCAGAGGCCACAGTTTTTGTCCAACTAACAGTGCAAAATACATTCCAGACTGAAAACGGAAAATTGTCACATTTGATCATTCAGTTTTGATTGATTTGATCAATCAATCATCACAATACTCTATTTTTTAAGTTGTAAGACTTAAGTCAACTAAAAGTATCAAGACTAAGACTAGTTAAATCCTGAATTACAGATGTCAGAGTCAAGTTCAAAGTCTTGGATTTTATGAAGTTGAGCCTGAAGTTACCAAATTCATCTTGCTTCTGACTCTATTCTCTACCTGAACCTGAACAAAACTACAACATCTCTCAAAACCAATGCAAGCTAATCTTAGACACTCAACTAAACTAGACTAGACTTCCGATCCGTCTATCAAGCCATTGACATCAGCTACATCAGCCTTTTTTAATGCATTTTAGCTTTTGTTTTTTGCCATTTAATTGTGTGAGCTCAGCGCTGGATTCCAGGACTGATTAGAACAAGGTCTACATTAAGAGCACAGAGAGGTAACACGGTCTGATCATGCACCGATTACAGGTTTTAGGACATGCATAACAAATCACAACACCACTTCAGAACACACACAACATGGTGGACAGTGTGAAGAAAGACAAGGACAGGGAGAAGCCAGCAGATGGGAAGAACAAATAACACAAAAAAATCTCAAACAATTATCCACAAAATTGCTTGGAACTCATTACTGGGCATCATTATTGGTAAGGGGAGAATGCGATTGGCCTAGTATCAAAACAGATTTTATTTTTCCACACCACACCCACTCCAACCGGATGCTTATTACCCTGTTACTGAGCTCTTCAAAGGCCAGACGAATGATGGATGCTCTTTTTGAGAGGCTGGACCAATCCTGGGAGCTTTAACTGAAGGACTGCAAGACCTGGACCAATCCTGGGAGCTTTTATTTAGAGCTTGGCGAGAGCTAGACCAAGCGTGTGAGTGTTTATTGGTAGCCTTAAGGGCTCAAATAATCCAGAAAGCATTTACTTAAAGCTCGATAAGGTTCGGGCAACATCTAGGACTTTCCCTTACAGCTCATCAGAAGTTGGACCCATTTAGAGATTTTTTTTGGAAGCTGGTCAAACAGTAGAGCGTGGACCAATCCTAGGAGCTGTAACTTATTGAACTGTCTTGACAAGCTTCTGACCAACTCTTTTACTGAAAGGCAGCAAAAATCCTCCTGAAAGCATTCACTTTCAAGAGCTACACCAATCCCAACATTAATTTGATCTCTTGTTGTTTGTTTGTTTTTTGGAACTTTGAAGTGTAATCAATTTTGCTTCTGTCTCTGAATACTTAAAAATAATAAACAATGTGTTTATCTCTACCAAACAGTGGAATGTATGGGATGGGATTAGATAAAAATCCTGTCAAAGTTGTATTTTACTGCATTTTAGACAACTATTTCACTGTATTAAACTATATCAAAGCATATGAAGTACTGCTATACTTCCAACTGTCACATAACACTATTTTCAGAATAGAGCTCATTAGAAAGACTTGATTACTACTTTATTATTACTTTAAATAATTTCCCCCTGGGATTATTAAAGTATTTCTGATTCTGATTTATAAGGATTTCACTTAAGTTAAGCTATTATTCTGCAACATTCTCGGCACGCAGAAAGGTGGATTAAAAGTTAATATTTACAAGATTAATTAAAACGCAGAGTCTGCCGGGCTTTATGACTAACTTGACTGTTCTTGTGTGTAGCAAATACATTAAAACATTTTTTTTTAGGGTTAGGGTTATAAATTTATACTACCACCGCCAACCAGAAAATCTTAACTGTGGTGGTAAATGTATTTACAATAATGACAACTTTGGCAGGAAATAGAAGCAACTATGTGGAGTTACCCTCCTATTCCAAAAATCAATAGACCTTTTCACTTGAAATAGTAGGGTAATCACACTGATACAAATTGAGGCTCTAGCTCATTCAGTGTAGCGGAGCCTTCCAGTGAGCCAACATGCACAACAGCAACATCCTGACTCTGTCTGATCTGAATGGAACAGAACATTATTTAGTATCACTGGTAACACCTGTGATGTGTTTGCCCTACTATTTCATGTCAAAATGGCTGCTGTGAAAAAGGTCTATTGGTAAAATAATTTATATATCTTGTTCTGGCTAGTAACGCAAGTTAAGTTAAATGCCATCGGATTGTTGTTTGAACTTTCCTTTGATTTTGTTTGTTTTGTTTTTTGCAGCCTACCATGCAAAACAAGCAAAAATCTTCAAAAATATATATGTATTTACATGTGGCCAGCCCCAGGATGAAAATCGGTGAAGAACATGAGGTGAAGAAATACAACATTGACAGAAAACTCTGAACTCTGAAATGCTAATGATGGTGACAGCATGCAACAAACAAAACACCAACACTGTATATGGAGAGAAGTCACAACTACACATGGATAACAGATGGACAGACAAACCAGAATGGGCCTGAGTGCACCGATTGGTTGCTGACAGGGTTTATTGGGGAATGTGTGTGTTAGTCAGGGAATAACTGAAAGAGCTGGATGGACATGCAACAGAAACCGTGAAGAGTAATAAAGAAATTATAACAGTAAACCATTAGAACAACAGACTGATAATAATAATAATAATAATACAAAATAGTGTCAGAGTGACACAAGATCGTAACTGAGTAAATATAGTAAGGATGGAATAGATAGATGGACACACACACACACACACACACACACACACACACACACATAGTGGGACATGTTTAAATGAAGCTGTGGAATGATTTTGAAGATGGATTCATTCATAGACACATGATAGGTATGTACAATGACTATGTGTAAGAACAGCATTGCTCTCAGAAAAAAAACATAGGTCAAAGCACTAACTTTAGTTTTCTGGAATAAGTTAAGACAAGAGGACACATTCCTGACAAACATTATTTCTCATGACTAATTATTAATTGAGCTTTTAAGTAAGTCTGCATGATCCATATGAAATTTGAAATTAAAATTAAAATGTGTACTAATGGTTTGCTTTTGCATTGTTTTTACTAAACACTAGTGAATTACATTAAAAGTAAGAGTAAGTATGAGAGTGAAGATGTGGGGAATTGTGAAGTTCAACATTAATTTCTCCTCTTAAATTACGACTATAATTATCGGGTTCTACTTATCTGCTGAACAGGCTTTAAAAGTTGTGAATCCAGCTTTTTAAAGAAAACAAGGCGGTGGAAACACTACGGCCAGTTTCTTCTAGCTGGAACTCCATCTAGTGTTAAATTACATATAGGGCTGTTTTACATGAAGAAATGCATGTGTTGTTAACTGAATGTACTTTTCATAGAGAGTATGTTGTATGTGTGATGGAAAACATGGTAGCACACATACTGTACTCTATGAACAAAAAAGAAATGAAGATGGTGAATTTGGGCTGTGGAATGTAAACACACCTGGGGCAGGTAGATACAGTACTTTAGTTTCTTTAAGTAACTTTTAAAGTTACTTTCACCACATAGCTGTCTACACAATAGTGTAGTAAAAGTATTTCTTAGAATTAACTTTTGTCTGGGACAAAATATAACTTCAGAAAATGATTTTGACTCTGAAAACACTGAGAGTAGCATTTTGATATTCAATGCTTAATAAATCTGTGATTGATTTAGCATAATTTGTCAATGTGAAATATGATCAAGCTAAACCTTTGCTGGCTTAAAATGCTTTATTTTAAGACAATAAGGTTAAGACATAATTTATCTGAATATGATCTCAAAATATATAAGATACTACGGTATTAAAATGTTTCTGTTGATTTGTGGATGAATACATACTTTATATTTGATGTGTTATTTCTTAGTTTTATCACTCTATAGCTCATTATGCTGATGATGCCACAATTTACATTCGGGAATAAATATCATTTATAAAAATCCAACAAATGCCCATAAAACTTCAACTGATAAACAGATTTAGAAGTACCTATTTGAGACTTTAAAACCTGATTTTGAGGGCTGTGTGTTTTGTTGGTCTTCTCAGGTGTTCATATTCCAGAGGGTGAGTTTATAAATGATGACATAAACTAGCAGAAACATTAACAGTTGAGGGGAGAGGATGACGGGACTGTCGAGCTGAGAGAGACAGAGGGAAGAAGGGAGCAGAAAAAAGAAAAATGAAGGGAGGAATGGATAGAAACACAGTTTTTTGTGTACGTATGTGTGTGTTTTGTGGTCCCATATGCCACTTATGCAGTCACACTCACACTCATACCAAATAGGGATTCATATGCAAACACTGAAATGATTAAACCATTAACATGACTTTCTGTTTACGTTACTCATTTGCTGTTTGGTCTTTTGGAGTTCAGAACATAGTTTTGTATCATAATTATAATTTTTACTATATCAAGTCTATTTCTAATATCTTTCATGGAACTAATCAAGTAGAAAAGGAATGTTCTGTAAGTTAAAGAAAATGAATAAGAGCTTGTATATTTGCTTGAGAAAGCTAATTTGAGGCCAAATAGATTTTTCCTTCCAAAGACCAGGTTTCAAAATAAAACAACAAAGACTATAGTAGTAACATCTACTGAAGCTACGTTCCAGTAGTAAATACTAATTCCTTACAGTTCTCTCTGTAGGTTTATCCTTCAGTTCTATGAAAGACAACTAAACTGAAAGTCTCTGTCCGCCTGGATCTTCATTTCAATGTGACTTATTTTACTTGCTGTATTAAAGTGAATAGGAAAACGTCCCTCCCATAAACTGAAAGTATGTCTCAATAGTGTGTGTATGTATGTATCTGTGTCCTGGTGGTGATTTAGAAAATGACTGTCCCATTAAAGAGGCATACAAGTTAAAGAGGTTACTGTTTTGGAGTGCGACTGACAGGTCTGCCTGCTTACCAATTTCTCCACCCAAGATTTATGGTGAATTTAGAATTTTTTAAGTGCAAAGACTTAAACGAACAGTAAATCCAAATGTCTCTTTAGAAAGCTTATAGTCATTCATCCAGACAGCCATGTTTTTCTATAGTTTTCTTCCCTCTCTTCTTTGACAAATAATTTTACAGAAACAGCATCATAATAACTGTTTCTTCCTCTAAAACACCTAATTAGTACTGAAGAGGGCGATCCAGGTGGACCATGGAGGCCTTTTAATGCAGTCACTTTTACTTTTGGTAAACTATAAACCAATGAGGCCATGGTGAGGCTGATTGGCTTGTGGTACTATTAGTGTCTCCAATTAAGACCACATTTTCCATCAGTCCCATTGCTTCCTGTACCCTGTTCCTCTTAGTAAAGAGGTTATTAGATGTGATTTAAAGGCCTGAACAAAAGATACAATAATGAACGTGACACCTTTAACCTTAAACTTATTACACTTAGAAAAGAAGAAATCATGAATCATTAAGAAGGAGAATCAAACAATAAATGTAGAAGACAAATGATAAATACAGAAATATTGTTGTTGCTAACACACCCGGTTAACAACAGTCTATGATATTTCTATACCAGGTCAAAGGTTAATGTTGCGCCTGTGTATGTCAGGGTGTGTATATCAGTGAGTGAATATGTGTGTTAGGGTGCAGCAGTGGGCCTGCGGCTCTGCAGGGTGCTGCTGTATTCCTGGTAGGCAGGCGAGCGGTAACTAACCCTGGGAGACTCCTGATCAGACGGCAGCCCGTTCTGAGACACCGGCTCACCCTCCCTGCAAACACACAGAGTGCACAAAGAGTTAGACAGTGGAAACAAGTCATTGTTTTGCAAGTCACAAGTAAGTCTCAAGTCTTTGCACTCAAGTCCCAAGTCCCTCAGGTCCCAAGTCAAGGCAAGCCTTTTTGGATTTTGTCAAGTTGAGCTGACAATAACTCATGCACACCTGCAGTGAAATATTGCAAAATGCACTCAAATATCAATAATCAGTAGAGGCTGAAAGGTTATCTTTAACGATATAAGAATTGCTCATGAAAAACAACAGAGGAGGTATAACTGTCATCCGACAGTACAGAAACTCAAAGCAGCTACACAAAATCACACACCTTTGCTGAGCTGCAGCGTCGCCCGGCTGAGCCTCAGTGGGCGGGGGTTGTCTCTTCTTCTCTTCTTCCTCTTGCGCTCTTCTCACTTCCAATAACTCCATCTGGACACACAAACACTTTGAGACTAATGCAAGACTCGTACGAAGAGATTCACTCTTAAGCTGCATTGTGGCATTCACCTGTTCCTGTTCGTTATTATTTTTCTTTAAATTCATGAGTGGTCAAGACCTGTCACACGAGTTATCAGCAAAAACACTCATTTGACGCCTTAATCTGAATGTGTTTGGAAATCAACTAAAAATAGAACTGAGACAAATTTAATGCAAAATGAATATTCTGTTCATCAGATCGTTGTCATCACAGCTAATAATTTACTGAAAGGTTTATCACATTTTATCATTTTTACTGGCATTTTTGGCACAGTAACATAGTTATATAATATTCTCTTATATAGTATCTGCATGACTGTAACATGATATTAGTCATCAACCGCTTCGCTTTAGAAAGGCTTTTTTTAGCATATAACTCCAGCTCTGCTCTGATGACAAATCGCTGGCAGCTGTATTATTCATATTTTCTAATTGTCTCTGGCCCTGTAATACGACTCCTAACTCTGCCAAACTTTTAATATTTTTGTCTGCTGCTATTTTTTTACTCTTTGGTGACAAACGGAGCAGAACAGGCACCCTTATATGGAATTTAGGGGTGTCAATTGTATGAATATTGAAATCTCACAAATTTGCCCGTCCTCATGAACAGGTGATGTCTATTAGGCTGAAAAGAGTGATTTATGACAGCTAAAGAGAGTTTGGTGAATACAATGTGGAACAAACCTCCCAATTAACAATAGATTTATAAAGAATATGAATAAGCTCTTCGTCAGTTTCTTTGCGTGTCTCACCGTGGTCAGCCTCTCCAGAGCGGCGAATCGTTCCTCCCAGGTGGCGGCTGACTTCTCGAAGGCCTCGTGGCGTTTGATGAGTTTCTCCACCTCGTCCACGTTCTGGCCCATCTCTCTGCTGGACAGGTAGGGCTCCTGACCCAGCAGCCACGCCTCGGCCACACCTGCATCCCGGGAGAACTGGTGCACCTCCAGGACTGAACACATATTTCAACATCAAACCGGATTTATTCAGCTAATTCAGTTCATTAACTTTCTGTAAACATGTGAAAAACTGATAAAGTGAGAAACTGTTTGATTAACAGGATGAGAGACCTTACCCAGTCTAAGCCACTCCCATCTGTCCTCCCACTTGTCAATCATGTCTTTCCTCTTGTCTGTCAACTGTAACAACTTTTCTTTAATCTGAGGGGAGAAAACATTTTAATTTTTACACTGTACATCATAAGCATTTTACTAAATTCCATCTAGACCCTTAAATGTATATGTTACTGTGAAAGGATGGGGTTTAAAACAAGGCTTCCACCATTTCACACCTTTTGAAAATCACTAGTAGCACAAAATTCAGCTGCTGTGGTTAGTGGCGATGATTTTTTAACATCTGAGGATAAAGCTCAGACGTTTGAAGTAGGCACTCAATATTGAAGGATATTGGTATAAAATACTGTGAAAAAGCTAAAAAAAAATAAAGTGCTGAAATGAAGGGGAAACTCTAAATCTAAAAACTAAGACCAATATGACGACTAAATCGTAAAAACAAATGTTACCAATTACTGACTGGAAACTAGAAATAGAAAAAAATGATGATGTTAAAATTGGTAAGTGAGTTAAAATTACTGTTCATGTTTATGGAGTCTGGTGGTGAGCAATATTACAGCTCTTCTTAAATATCCGACAACTCACAATATACCATTTTAGTTTTAAGGCTTTAAATTGATCTAATTTTAAACTGTTCAGACACATTCACACATCTTGAACTACATCTCCACCTCCTCTGAAGCGTAGTGCTTTCTGGCCAGCAGGGCTTTGCCCAGCTCGATGCAGGCGGTGAAGCTGTCATTGCGGGCATCGATCTCCGCCTTGATGCCCTGGTGGTTGTTCATCAGCAGCTCCACTGATGACACGTCCCTGAAAGCATCAAGAAAACACACAAATATTTTATTCTCATCTTGCTCAATATGAAACACATCTGGTGATAAATCATGTTAAAGCTTTGTTTGAATCAATCTTTCTCAAACAAGAAAGTTGAGACTGCAGACCTTCTAATTTGATCAAATATATTAACTGACTACTATAAATAGTAGTAGTACTACTACTATTGATAGAGACACTCAGACAAGGCACCACAGTCCTTTAAATTTGTTATTAAATAATCCAAATTTATTGTAAAGTTGAATAGAAAAAGGTCCCTCTTAGAGAGAGAAATAAAGATGGATTGTGGTTGAAAGCTCCCACACATTCAATGGCCTCACCTGGGATTCTCCTGGGCCTCGATCAGGCGGATGACGTCCTCCATCCACAGCATTAGGTCCCGCACCATGCTGAAGAAGCGGAACTTGTCTCCAGTGTCGACCAGCTTCACTCGGCGGCCCTCCGCCGCCTCCAGCAGGTTCTTCCAGGCCTCGAGGACCTGAGGGGGGACGAGACAACAAACAGCACAGTTTAGAACCGGAGAGACTAGAGGCTGGGCTCCCCTCGTCACGAGACGAGGACCTTTCACTCAACCATAAATCAGGGCTAGCGTGATAAGTTTGCATTACTGATCTGAACTATCCTATACCTTAAAACCTTAAAACCAAATAAGTTAATTTAACTTAAACATTGATGAAACTGATTACATACATTTTTTTAAGTAAAACAAACTCAATTTTGTAATTTAAAAAACTATTTTTGATCAAGTAGCTTTCATCATTTTAAGACTAAATCTTTAAATTTTTATTTGTACTGCGAAAAAATACATGCTGTAGTAAAATATCTGGAATATTTCTGTAACTTACAAATCTAGTTTCGTGTCACCTTGAGTTTGTGTTACTTAAAAAGTTTTAAGTAACCTGTTTCAACCATTTTTTTGAGTCAACATATTTAATTACTTTACAATATATAAAAAGTAATCACAAACTGCTTTATGATCAGTGAAAAATCGTTACTTATGACAAACCCAATTCATTTATGGTATATTTATCTTTGTAAAGATTGTTTTTTTGAACTGCAAACACACTGTTATCACTGTTAATCTAGTGCAATCGGTGGTACAGGTCCAGCATAACAGCCCGGGAAAATAAATAAATGGGGCAAAAGCAAATAAAAAACAAACGCATTCAAACGTTCTTACTGGGGAGGCAAAAGCACCCACCATGTATGGGGAGGGCAACATGACATGAAGTTTATTTAGTGTCTGTAAATTCAAATATATATACTTTTTACCCAGTATATGCATGGTTTTTGTTGATTTGGTGCAGGACTCTAATCTTTTCAGTGCTTTTTATTTTAAGTCAAGTAATCCAACACCGACAGAGAGAGACTGTTGCTTGGTTCAGCATCTTGGAGGGATCGTACCGGCAACCCTACGAGTAGCGGTCGGCCTGCGAGCTGAAACAGCCACATGTTGATCCTCTCAATGAGGTTCAAAGTGAACAATACTGTAGGTAGCTAGTGTTAGTGGGAGCTGGGCAAAGAGTCAGATCCCATCTAACTGTTTGCAAGCTAAATACCCAGTAGCCATATTAATCTGTTAGCATGCTAACGCTAGCTTCTACTAGCTAAGTGAGCAAGTGACAACCAGACAGTGGAGATTATTTGGAGACACTATGGTTAGCCAGCTACAAGCTATTTTCTAACAATTGTTCAGATGATTCAGTGATAAACGGATCAACTGCACAACAACAGCCACTTCCAACATGGCCACCAGAGGGTGTGTGACACTAACCCCATTCCCTATAAACTGCTGTGATCTTTTTGCTAAACATTGGATATAAATTAGCATTTATACTGATTTCATGTAAACGAGCTGCTTATGGCATCAGCTGTGGCCTTGTGAAATTTGTTTTTCTTAATGAAGTTAACTGTCTTAAAGATTTTTTTACCTTGATGTACACCTTCGCTAAGTGCTGACATTAGTAACTGAAACGCACCACTAACCTTCGCTGAATTACCTAAATAAAAAAAAGTCCTAAACAGAAACGATTCTACTGCATTTTTCAGCCATAAGCAGCAACATAAGTCAAAGCGTCTGAGCTTCACGAGACAAACTGCACAGTAAGTGCATTTTGTATTTTCTAATACGAGTGTGGTGGCTGACCCTCTGTCTGCCAGTCTGCCATTTGTTTTAGCTGCAAGCGTCTGCAGACTGAATGTCTACATTTCTCTGCAGGCCTTGCTGATTGCATTTAAGAAATAACCGTCTCCAGACTGAAACACACTCCATTTTGCACACATGGCTGCAGAGGACTGCAAGCAGCTAACAAGCGACTACATTTAAGCAAATGCGACAAAAACATTCGAGTGCGCCACTGTGTGCATGTGTTAAAATGCATCTTAAATTGATCGGAGAAAAGCTACACGCTAGGGACCTAGCTTTTAGGTTTTCATTTTCACTGACTGCAGACTCAAACTGTATTTGCAGACTACTAGTAGAATTTGTTTTAACCTCCTCAGAGGCCCAGGTGGGTGGAGTTTACAACCTACTGGTACTCATGCAGTGTCAGGTAAGCTGTCAATCAGAAACATTTTGTTTGTTTTGACCGCTGTGCAAAAATCCACCCACGCAGCCATCTTAGAAATATATAAAACAAGCCCTACAAGTATTTGCAAATCACCAGGTCTGTGACTAAGACTACAACTAAACTGCATGAAATGACTAAAATGTTGCGAAAATGAATCAACATTTTAGTCGAAATATTGAAAGAAAGTCTAAAACTGCAGCCAAAATGAATACTAATGCAAAGCCGATGTTTCTGGTAAACGGAGTCTCACCTCTCCCTTTCTTCTCTGGGTGGACAGGGAGGATATGCAGGGAAATGGACATACAGGGAATGGTCAAAACACAACGCCATCAAAAACACTCAGTGCTTATCATCATCAACAGTTGACTGACTGTCAAGAGACAAAAAGCTCTGGCATGTCATGGTGGTACCGAAGGGAAATCCCACTTTTAATTTTACGTTGTTATTGTTTACAAGTATATTCTGAAAATGTCTGGTTGAGACGAAGATTTAAATGCAGAGTTTGCAAAATCAGAAGAACGGATATTTTATTTTGCAAAACAGCTCTTTACTGAGATGGATGAAGACACTTGTAGAGGACGAAACTAAAATGTACGGAATAAACTCTGAATGACGTCACCAATGCAAGGTGGCAGTGCCCGTATCCAGGATATTCTGGCTTCATTTTTGTACAGTGGGAGGAAGTGGAGACATGTCGTCCATCTTTATATGCAGTCTAGCTAGCTAGCCCATGAATGGCTTGCTAGGAAGAAAGGTCAAACAGTGCTACTGCTTTGCATTAGGTTTCCCACAGAACATATTTTGATGATACAGAAAAGTTCCATTGTTTGTGCTAAGCATATTGCATCATCTGACTCTGAGAATGAGGAGATTTCCCAAAACGTTGGACGGTTCCTTTAACCATCTCAGCAAATGCAACGTAGCTTCTTTTTGACTCGAGTTTAAATCTCAAAGAACTGACCTGTAAAAAAATAATCATTGCTCAGTGTATTCAGACAGAACGTGACAGGAATTTTTTCTTTGTCATATTTGTAGGAATTTGACTCAAGTTGAAACATTTTCACCTCAAATCTCTGCACCACGATGCACCTCCTAGAGGGAATGTGTGTCTGCTTGCACCCACTCACACCTTTCCACTGGCTTTGTATGCAATCACGCTGCTTTTCAAATTCACTTCACGTTATGTCTGTACACACATTTAATAATTCAAGTTACAAGACAAGAAGTTTTGTTCTCTAATACAATAAATCGTCTGGGAGTGCTTTTGGAATAAAATGTCAGATCAAGTGGAAATGATAATCAGTAATGCAATTCCTTTCAGGTGCTGTGTGGTAAACGTTGCTGGAGACTTAAAACAATGGGCAGAAAAGGTCAAAGATAAAATATTTGCAGCCTGGATCAACAATTCTAAGTTTGTGATCTCGTTCTTCACGAATCAGGCGACATTTTTTGAAAATAACAATCACAGTTTGACTGCAAATAAAATGTTCGCTTTTGAACCTTGAAGATTTGGAGGCAAGAGAAGCTGGTTCTAGAAAAATGTCCTTCTGGGCATCATTATTATCATTAGTAGTGTGTTCATAAGGATCAACATTAACATACTAAGCCATTAGTAAGAAGTCTTTATCATGGTGTTTCCTGTATTTTGACCATGCCCTGTAAGATTTACCACGTGTTTATAATCTACAGCTTGTTATACGGATATCACATCACTTTTGATGATTTAAAGACCAGTACTATGTGTTTTGGCATCTTTTATCAACCTCGAACAAGCTTATTATTTTTCTTATTCAAGATTCTTCTCTCTGAGAAAACGGACTCGACCCTTAACCGACTCATACTGCTCTATTTTCCAGACGGGTCCTTACAGGGGCGGAGGAACAGTGCAAAGTTAGTGCAGCAGCAATGCAGCATGCATGAGGAACAGAGCCTTGTACTTCATTAACATCAGCGCTGGGTTCAATTCATTTTCAATTCAATCAGTAAGAAAAAGAGGTTTTCTAATATGTTTACATGAAAGATAATTAAGGAGACTTTGTGAACATATACCAACTCACGTGCTAAATACAAGAAAAGGTCTAATATATTTCCGTAGCAAGGATTACTGAGACTCCGATTTACTGATTGAATTCAAAGTAAACTGGGTCCTGTTGTGGTTTCTGTTTCACTGCTGCCTGGCACTGAAGCTCACCTCTCCTTCTCTCTTCTGAATGTCATCAGCTTTATCTCCAGCATAAGCGGACTGCAGGCGAACCGCATCTTCCTGAAGCTGCCGCACCTGAAAACAAAGAGCCGGAGAACAAGGTTCGTGTTGGTCAAGAACACGCCGAACCATTATAGTTACAACCATTAGATATGTTTGTTGTGTGTTATAGATCTGGGGATCTTTGATTTATGAGCGCTCCAGCCTGATTCTTTTCAAAACCCCATTTACTATGGAATGAAACTGTATGGTACTACTATAAGGTGCTTCCTTTTGTTATACGTTTTTCATATATTCAAAATCTCTGTTTCAGCCCTTTTTGTATTAGTATGGCTTGTATGCCTCACAGTACTCCATTCAGTACTTGGAAAAAATCTGAAGGTAAGATAGGTCAAAAAACTTGCTAATATGTATATTTAAGTGCAGAAATCTTAATTTTAACACCTTGTATCAAAAACCAACTGAATGTGTTCCAGGTTTCTCTCCTTACAACCCAGTGCCTGTACCTGTGTTCCCAGTGCCTGAATGTCGTGTTCGAAGGTGGTGTGCATCCTCTGCAGGGTCTCCACTGTGTTCTGGTCCCGGCCCAGCTCCTCAGGTAGCTTCTTGTGTTTGTCCAGGATGCGGTTGAGGATCTCCTTGGCGTCGTGGTAGAACTTGTGGAGTTCGAAGGAGGCGGCGAGGATCTGTGTTCGGGTGTCGATGAGCTCCAGCAGGTCGGCCCAGGCCTCGTTCAGGCCGTCCTTCCACTCTGCGATGGTGGCCGCGTCGCCGTGGCCGGTGTTGATCAGCTCATCTGCCTGCCGGTTGACGGTGTCCACGCGCTCCTGGCCAATGTTCCCAGTGTCACGGGCAAATTCTCTGAAACGCTCCTGCAGCATCTGAAGAAGGACAAAAGGTAGGACAAAGACACTCACACCAATGTGCCAGTTTGCTACGGATACCAAGATACTGAAAACGTAACTGCCTTTCTACACTGTTTGTGATGTGATCAGTAATAGTACTGCTTTGTGGTTACCCATGTTAAGCAAGTCAAGATAAGGTACGAATATTTGAGTACATCTGATTACAATATATCAGCCAATATACTTAACCCCCCAAAAAAACAAAAAACATGTTTTTCCTCTTACCTGTAGCCCGGTTTATCCATCTCGATTGTTTTGGTGTGAGTTGCTGAGGTTTGGAAATATCAGCCATAGAGATCCAGTACAACGGAACCAGATGACACTCGGCTTGTAGTGCTCAAAGCGCCATAAAAATACATTTGAAAAACAACGTCTCTTTTCCAGAAATCATGACCCAGTTTTTCAAGATCATATAACCCACAGATCTTCTCGTAAGCAGTTTCATGAAGGAACTACTTTCTTTCAATTTATCACTGCGCAGAAGGAACCATGTATCTGCTCCGACAAGAGACTCGTGACAGAGCAGGACGTAAAGATCAATGGCCTCCTCGGCTGCGGTTGGCGGGTGTAGTTTGGTAGAAGAAAAAAAATGTTGCTACATGAAACCAGGTAACCAAGTCATGATTTTTAAAAAGAGACAATGCTGTTGAATTTAAAATGTATTTAAATGTTTTTTGGCCATTTGAGCACAACAAGTAGAGTGACATCTCTATGACTACCTTTAAAAACTCAGAACATTACACCAAAATAATCCAGGATATCCATGGATAAATAGCAGTGAGATCAAATACATTTATGAAACAGTCTCAGTTTAATACTGTTACAGTGATTGTTAATGCCTGCCACGGGTCGGATTCAGTCAGATTCCCCTTGAAATCAATGACATGAGGCAGTGAAAACACGACTACTTTTGTTCACAGAGGACACCAGAACCAACAAAAATGAAACTTTCTTGTAAGGGCTTTATATTAGAATTTTGAAGAATTGTGATTTAGATACATACAGTACTGAATAGGACATTTTAGAATGGAACGTTTTCACTCCTCTGTGGTGGACAAATTATGTAATGTAGAAATAGTCCCAAAATGACCAAAAGTGTATATTTGACATTGTTACTCAACGGTCAATATAAACACCAAGATATCCAATATTTATCTTCAAGGTGCAAGAAAATGCCGTTTACAGTAAAACAAGGTCTTCTTGTGCCAGGTTTTATCTAAAACAAAAGGTTCCTGCCTTGTTGTATTTTTAAAATCCAATTTTCAGCCAGAATTTTGCATTTCTGATTTTTAAATTCACTTTCTGTTTTTAATAATCTAAATAATATAAAAAAGTAAAAAAGAAAATATAAATCTAATGTAAATATCACAGTGCTTCCATGAATCCAAACTTTTTTAAGTTTCATCTTCCTAAACAGTCATTTTGGAAACTTTTCGTGTCCATCCCATTTAAATAAAACTGCCTCAACATTGTCAGAATGTAATGAAATGTACTCACGGTGACGTGTTCGTAGTCCTGTCCAAGCTCGTGGGATCCGGCCACCACCTCCCTCTCAGCGATCCACTGCTCCAGGTCGTCCACCTCCCGGTTGAGCTGGAAGAGACGGAAACGCTCATCCAGCTTCCCCCGGCGCTCCTCCGACAAATCCTTGAGCCCAGCGTACAGCTTATCCACCTGAGACTGACGCATCCCGATACGCTCGCTGCACAAAGAGAGAAAATTAGCAGTTAAAAAACCGTCTGCTTCCCGTCCCTTCAATCGTCATTTGCTCCTTGTTTCCCTCTTCTGCACCTGTCCCTTCCTTTCCCCTCCACTCAGCTTTTAGTTTCCTTTCATTTATACACCATTTCACACTCTATCTCCTTCCTTTATCCTCATTTTATTTACTTCTTTGACTCGTATTTTCTACTTTTATTTTCAGCTTAATTTCTTCCTCCCCCACTTATTTAGTTTGAATAAAAAAAAAAAACTCCTGACCGTGGCTCCTTAATTGTAAGCCTCAACCTTTGACCTGTAATTCCCCCAATCACCTGTCGGGGTGTCCGGCAGCCACCAGGCCCCGGCTGGTGCTGGACAGCTGGTGGACGGTGTCGGCGTAATCCTCCACCGCCTGCTCCAGAATCTGATGCTTCTTCAGCATGGCCACAGAACTCTGCTCATCCTGGGAGACACACAGAGACATTTCTCTTCTTATTTTGTGTTCAAGTGGAATTTGACGGACAAAGAAGGAAACAGAATGAAAGAATCACCGTCAACAAGACAGAAAATGGAACCAAAAAAGAGGATGGAAAGAAACACACCGAAGAGGAGATGATAAAGAGAAATGGAAGTGGAAAGAAAAAGTAAAAGGAGTAAGGAAAATAAAAGGCAGAGACACAGAAATAGAAATAGAATGGGTGACAGAGAGAGATGGAAAGAAACATGGACGTAGAGACAAAAAAAATTAATGATTGAGCGTGAAATAGCAGAGAGAAAATAATTAAATAAGAGTGGGAGAAGAAACAAAGGGAGGAGGGATGTTTACCCAAAATTTCATCTAAAAACACAAACTCAAAGAAAGAGTTAATTTCACTGACCACTCAAAAAACTTAAATTAGACCTGATTTACAGACTGTAATTTCATTTACAGCAGTATAATGGATTCCCAGGAATGACTGTAAAGTTTCTGGAAGGTTTGACCTTTACAAGCAAACAGTCTGAGACAAATGCGACAGTATACCACTGTAAAACCCCCAAACTGTCAAATCAAACTAAAACAGTGTAAATAACTGATACAATCTAATTTAAGTATTAAATCAGAGTATTAAATGTGTACTGACCAGCAGAGACAGCAGACAGTGTGACACCGACACAAACCAACTAAGTACTGTAACAGAAACTCCGTAAACTGAGGAACTGGTAGGTGAACTAAAACAAAGAAACAGGAAGTCTTTGACCCACTGAGCAGAGACACCGACCAACACCATCGTGAAAACAGCACGGTGATCCAACCCAAACCTCATCAGCTTTAACCAAATAACAAGATTAAATGTCTGTGGTCATGATAGTGACACTGTAATGTTCAACACCAGCAAACAACTTCTCTATTCTTGGATCTTTACTGCTAATGAAGACAGAACAGTCAATATATAGAGTTTAACCTTGGTACAGTGGCCATTTTAGGACTGTTTAAATTACCCAGATCTTCCACATTGTGGGGCCCATAGAGCAAACTCACTAGAGATTTAACTGGAAGAGCCCCTGACTTCTTGGTTTAGCCATCTGCTAACTTTAATGGAAATAAAATGATTTCATTGCTTTCCAAATGTTATTGTACATCACGTGCTGACACCATTGCTGTCATTACATAGTTTGGCCACTATGTTAAATTGAGTTCCAAGCCTGGCGCTCTCTCTGGGGGCTTGATGCTAACAAAGTAACGAGGAGTTAGGTGGAAAAAAAACATCCAACTTCTTAGTTGTACTTTAAAGTCGAAGGTATCAGGAATTTATGAGAGCCACAATATTCAATATTACAATAAAACAATATTCCCCTCCTCCTGCTAACCTCTGCCCTTTGCACTCTGCCCTCACCTTGGCCTTCTCCTCTGACATCATGTAGAGCTCCTGTTCACTCATCCAGGCTTCAGCCTCTGCAGCATCGAAGTAGTACTGCTGGGCCTCGTGGGCCTCACTGAGGCGGGCGTGACGCTTTTCTGTCTCCTTCTTGATCTGTTCCCACAGCGACTGGAGCTCGGCGAGCCGCTGGCGAATCAGCTCCGCTGTCGGGCTGTCCTCCCTCAGGACGTGCTGGCTGCGCTCGAAGATGTCGTCGTAGCGCGGCTGATGGCCCTGGATCTCCTTCTGCAGGGTCTGTGGGGGTCAAAGGTCACAGAGAGGGTTTTAGGAGTGGAGCAACTGTAACTTTTTACTCAAGACTACTGTTATAGATTGAACATGTAAATTGATTTGCAGTAGTTGATTAATTGGCTGAAAATATGGATTTCATGTTACAGAAGAAAATATTCTGCATATTTAATAAGTGGTCATTAATATACCCATTCATATAGGTAAAGGTGTGTGTTTGCGTACCTGGTTCTTCTTGATGAGCAGCTGTACAGTCTGTAGGTTGTGTCCGTGGTCGGTTGATGTTGCCAGAGGCATCCTCTCCTCAACCCAGAGCTGGAGACAGATAGAGAGACAGAAAGACAGACAGGTTGATATGAACACTGTTACCATTTTTTCATTCCTGCTGCTTCTAATGCCAAAGAATTTCACAATATTGCTACTACTATCTCTCTACTACGACTACGACTGCGACTACTACTATTACTACTAATAATAATAATAACAACAATAATAATAGCACAACTATCACTGCTACTATTAATGCACCTAATGCAGCTGCTAATGCTACTGGTACTAAAACTGCTACAACCACAACTAATGCTACTACTTTTTTCCCCCTGAAAGTGTGAACAGCACAAAACACATGAAATGTGAACAGTCATGTCAGGATTCATGTGACTTTTACGTCACTCTAGATCTACAATTGTCATGCAGGTCACTTCAGGACCATGACCTGTTCACACTGGAATCTGATATGGGCCACATTTTAAACAAAAAAAATCTGAATTGAGCTTGCAGTGTGAACGTAGCCTATGAATAACTATAACAACTATTATAACTATTACTGCCTCTAATGTTTCTAATGATGGTGCTAATACTGCCAATACTACCACAACTTCTGCTGCTGCTGCTATGACAACTTCTATTACAACTACTCAACAATTGTCATTAGTATTAGTGATACTAACACTGCAGTAATAGGTGCTGCAGTTACTAGAAGTAAGTACTTTCTCTGCTGATACCACTATTGGTAACACTGCAGTACCACTACTACTGTGGATACAAAACAGCACTACTTCCTCTACCTACATTTCTAATTCCAGTTCCCTTTTCAGCTTTGGCGAGTTATTTCTGTGAAACATGCAGATGATGTTTCAGTTTCTGTTGGTCTCACCCAGATCACCCAAAGATCAACAATAAGACACACTTTCCTTCCTGTTAGCGGGGTCAAAGGTCAGCGCTCTTCCTACTTACGATCTCGTCCTCCACGTCCCTGTTGAACTGGTGGATCTCGCGGGAGGCCATGAGGTTCTCTCGTCTCTTCTTCAGTGGTTCCTGGAGGCAATGGAACTTCCTCTCCACACTGATCCTCTGGCCGTCCACCTCCTCGGAGCCTTTCCCCTCCTGGCTGAGGGCCTGCGACTGGCTCTGCAGCTCCCCCACCTCCTTCTGACGCAGCTCCACCTGGCTCTCCAGGATCTGCAGGAGGACAGTGTCCCGGTCAGACAGAGAGTAGTACAAGTACTAATACATGTGTTGTATAAACTTACTATAAGTAATTCAATGTTCTGCGTTCATACAAAATAAACAAAACTTGTAAAACAATTTCAGAAAACAGATGTTTAAAACAAAACATGATAGATGACATAAATAAACTAATAATTGTAATACTAAATACCATAATTCAATAAATTAAATATAATCAAATAATAGAAAATAAAATGAAATAAATAACTACAATGGTTCTGAGGATATAATATATAGTTGAATAATAAAAAAAAACATGCAATCAAAAGAAAAACATAAACATAAACAAGAAAATAAAAATGAAAAAATAAAATATAAAAAATAATTGATTCTATCTAACAGAAGAGCCACACGGTTGGTTGCCACAAAAAACACAAATAAGCAGAAAAAACAGCGATTACAAGATAAAGGATCCTTCAGAGGCCTCGTCTCATCTTCTTCTTCGGCCTAGTGTGTTTACCTCGCTGATGAAATGAAAAGCTATGACATAAAAATCAAAGTGATGATCATCTGCAGCAGCCAGACAGTGTGATAACAGTCTGAAAACGGCTTCACAGAGCAGTAAAAAACCAAAAATATCAGGTGGAGTCTGGGTTAGAACTAGAGCAGAGAGGAAGAAGAGGAGGAGGAGAGGATTTGCTTCCCTCCTCTCTCTGCTTAACAGATCAAACACTCCGCTAATGATCTCTCTCCCACACTTCATCACTCACTCTCTCCCACACACACACACACACACACACACAGGATATTACAGCACAGATCTGAGGAGAAGACAGATGATAAGAGAAGTGAAGCCGCTCTAATAGACTGAAAATACCCGCATCATCCTTCAGATTCTTCAGCTCTGTCTCTGTTAGTGGTGGACGGACACACACACACACACACACACACACACACACACACACACACACACACACACACACACACACACACACACACACACACACACACACACACACACACACACACACACACACACACACACACACACACACACACACACACACACACACACACACACACACACACACACACACACACACACACTTCTCAGACTCAGCGCTGCCTCGTAACACATCAAATGAAAGATTACATAACTGCTTTTGTATGTGTGTGGAGTGTGTGTGCATGACTGAGACTTAGTGGATATGAATTGTGTGTGTGTGTGTGTGTGTACCAGTGGATGAATTATGTAAAGGGTGGTCAGTCTACTCACTCTCATAGCATGACTGTAAAAATGGATAGATTCCCACAGAAACTAACACTAATTCATCGTCTCACATCTCTGCATTGCTTAGTTGTTTTCCAAAAATAGGTCAAACTGCAGGAAGGGCTGTTTGGAGAATGTCCCTCAGACCAAGAGTCTGAAGTCAAGAGCCACGCTAAATGAACTGTACTTACAGCAGACACTGCCTTGTGCTAAACGCTAACATAACATACTAACATTTTTTAAATAGCACTACGTACATTTGTTTATTAACTATTGGACAAATTAAAATGTCAACCTAATGACACAAAAACAATCACTAAAGTTCTTACAATTCACACTGAAAGTTTTAGTTTTTACTGAATAAATTCCCTGAATGTTTCCCCACACAGTGTTTTCTTGCTAACCTACAGTCGGTGGAGAGACAGAAGCACAAAGAGAAAACAGCACTACAAACTCTGTAACTGAAAGGTAACCACTTGACATCTCTAACTCGGCTGAAGCCCTATATCAGCTTCAGCTGAAACTGTAGAAGCCAATTTGACACAAAACTGTGGATTACAATACAGCTGTGTCAGGAAGAAAAGGGTTCATTGTTTATCAGCTTAACTGTGAACCTTAGTGGAAGAGAAACTGTGCTGTTAAACTGAAACGTTTACAGGACGTTCACAGTTCGTAACACGTGTATGAATGAAAACATACTGACCCGGGAAGAGCTTACAAACTTTAAGCTCTGTGCATTAAAAGCTCAACTAGAAAGACGGCAAATGGAGCAAAAACATCCTCAGCATACCCTTGTTGTCCACATTAATGGACAGCTCCTGAAGAACTGTAACAATTCGAGCTGCTCACCTGCTGTTTCTTGAGCAGGATGTTGACAGACGTTAGGTCTTTGCCGTAGTCGTCGGACTGTAGCTGTCCGTCCAGGCCGGCCAGCCACTTGTCGAGGTCAGCGCAGCTCTGGGTGAACAGCTCAGCCTTGTTGGCATCAAACAGACACTTGGCCTTGGTCTGGGTGGTCGACTCCAGGTCCTCCCACATTGTCTTCAGGGATGCCAACTTCTCTTTAACCATGGCCTCTGTCTCCGGTTTCTCTGCCATCAGTGTCTTCCCGTCCTGAAACATTATTTGTTTTTAATTCTCAGCTCTGATTAGCTAATGAAAAAGTATGTCTGCTTCTTAATATTGACGACCAATCATCAGGACATCAGCATAGAAGAATGATATCAGGGCCTCGTTTCCCAAAACCATTTTTTTGTGTAATCCAAGATGTACATTATGTTGTTGTCGACACTGAATAAGCTGACAATACACATGTGCAGACAAAAGGAAATGTTGTAGTAGAGAACATTCACTGTCTCCTCCATCTTTCCCACCTTGTCAATCTTATCCAGCCACTCCTTGTTGGACTGCAGTTCGGCCATGAAGGCCTGGTGTTTGAGCCACTTGCTGTGGAGGTTCCTGGCCTCGTCGTACGTCATGTCTTGAGCCGTCAGCATCTTCTCATTGATCCACAGGGACAGCTGAAGAAACACAAACAGCCAATGACCTCAGGTAAAAACCACATCCACAGAGGACTCTCCTGCAGGTAATGCGAGTAATGAGTAAGTATGTGCGGTTTACCTCCTGGCAGTCCTGCAGGAACTTCTGCAGGTCTCTGTTGTCCTTCAGCCGGGTCAGCAGGTCATTGGCAGCTGCTCGGTTCTTCTTGTGCCTATAGAACAAAAATCAGTAGGTTTTAGCTTGTGTCGTTCACAAACGTTTCATTTAGAAGTACAAATCTTTTGGGTTAACAAAGTGAACCAAGTCACTCCCTGAAACGATCCGTTCGCAGTCAGTTCAGTTGAGCTCTCAGTCAGTCACTTATGTATTGCAAAAATTCATGTGCTGTACATAATAGAGAAGGAATTTATATGGAAGCTTAGCATCTTTATCCAACCAAATTCTCGGATCACTGGCCCCTCCTTCACAAACAACCAATCACTGGTTTGTGAGCTAAACTTAATGTTCGAGTCGTGTTTCAGTTCAGTGACAGGCCTTTTCCAAGGCTCAGTTCCCATTTATGCACCTAGAGTTGAACCGTTTGGAGCATCTCGACCGAAAAATAAACTGGTTCGGATGCAGAATAGTTGGTTCCCAGCTGGAACCAAAATTAGCGGGTTTTACTTGGGAACCAAAGAGGGTGTGTCATATTTTTCAGGTTGTTGTGCATTGTGCAACGCTGATTGATTACAATGGTTCAACTGAACTGGTGGTGGTGGAAAGACAGGCTGGTTCGCTAGATAACACCACTGATCCGAAAATCTTGAACAGAGCCTCTTCAAGAACTGGAGTTAATTTAGTGGAAAAACACAGGATCGATTCTTAATGATTAAGTGTGTTGATTAGAACTGCTTTTAGAGTAAGAATCTTGAGTGGGCAATTCTCCCTGTAGGTTAAGAACATTTTCGTATTTAATTTCAAGTTTACCTGATTTAATAAAAAAATTATTTTAAAGCCTCAGTCACTAAGCAGGCAATCTGGTGCAAACAGGGTTTGTGCTTTGCTCAAGGGCGACTTAATGAAGGACAGGAGAGTCTTAATGATTAAAATTCAACAACAATTAAGTGAAGTGTAGAAAATGAATCAAATCTTCACAATTGAGGTTTACCTACATTTTTGGTTACTTAATGAAAAAAATAACAGAAAAAGTAAATGAATTATCACCCACCACTATGGCAGATATAAACTTAAGTAAAACACAAATTCCCAAACAAAGCAACACTATCTTTATGACCTCTGGTCGATGGAGTCCACCTTCTCCTGTATGCGCTCGGCGTTGATGTTGCCGTCGGTTACCAGGCGCCGGCCGGTGTCAACCACACCGCTGATCTTCTCCTCGTTGGCGTCCATGGTGGTCATGAAGTCTTCCTGCTTCTTGATGGCAGCCTCAGCACCCTCCAGAGTGGTGGGCATCTCAGTGTGAGCCAGGACATACTCCTGACACAAACACACAGAGGAGAGGTTTACGTGAAATGGCGACACTCAGCCATTAGATGGCATTTCCTGCTTCTGATTTGATGATGGAGTAAAAATATCCAATTTGGATTTTTCAACTGAAATTTGGATGCAATTTAAAAGAGTGAAAGGTAGAAAAGAAATACATTTGTGTGTATATAGACCCTTTTTCTTTCTTTCTTTTTCTTTGTAATGTGTTTCCTGTTAATCAGTAAAGGACTCATGTTTCTATCTGATAATATGAGTTAAAAACCATACAGAAAGTAATTGAATTGGTCTAAACATGGCGCTGTAATGAAGGCCTTCTACCACTTGGTGGCAGCTTCTGACCTTCTCATAGTGACAGGGCAGGACTCCAGGCCTGGTAGATGGATACAGGGAGGAGGACAGAAAGTAATCTGAAATACATCCATCACAATTTCCACCGTCCTTTGTGACGTCTTATTTTGTCTGACCAACAGTTCAAACCCAAAGAAAAGCAGGAACTCCTCCTTGATTACTTTTATGCATGTCCATCCATCAACTCATTGTTTCAGCTCTACTTCTATCCGTGTTTTTAAGTGCTTATCCGGTACAGGGTCAGGTTGGGTGGGAGCCTATCCCAGCATGCTCTGGGCCAGGGGTGGCGTACACCCCGGACAGTCGGTCACAGGAACAGAAATCTGGCCGAACCCACATGATACTGGATTGGACGAGTGCCCAGTCAGAGATTTATTTGCTGATCACAGTGAGTGTGTGTGTCACATCACTAATGAGAGAACAGTTCACTCTGTGGTCAGATCACATGACAACCACATGAAATCACTCACAGTCTACTCTGAAAGGCTCTGTGTCTACAGCAATGCCAATGTCTGAGAGGAGGAAAGAACATCCCAAAGTTTTCATATGATCTTATCTCACTCATTGGTGTGTCAGTGATCCCAACTGATTTTCTAACCTAACGTGGGGTTCAGACCCAAGTTAAAGTGCAGGTGTGATGACATCACAGGTTTACCTGGTTGTTGAGGAAGGCCTCAGCCTGCTTGGTGTCTCTGAGGAACAGCTGGTAAGCGTGGGACTGGGACAGCAGGTTCTGCCGGTTCTCCCACATCTTGTGCAGCTCATTCCAGCCGGTGTCAAGTGCCTGCAGTCGCTGTCGCAGGAACATGTACTGCGCGTCAGTCTGGCCCTGCGTCACCATCTCTCCCATGTCCCGCATCTTCTGATAGTCCTCCTCGTAGTTGCGGATCTCGTTCTTGATGCCCTCATGCTGGGCCAGCAGCTTCTCGGCCTCGGCCAGTGTGTTGGGCATGTCCTCGGAGGCGATTGCTGTCTGCGTCCGTGACAGCCAAGACTGGAAGTCGTCCACTTCGCGCAGGAACTGCTGCAGTTTGCTGGCCTCACCGAGGGACTCCTCTCGGTTCTTCATGGTGTCCTGTTGACAGAAAAAAGAGGGGTTATGTCCACAGAAAAATGGAGTTTGCTTCAATCACAGCACTGTTTTTGTGTCCCAAAACACATTGAGAGTAGTGGACAGTAGGCACCTGTGTTCCCTCCTGTTGTGGTCATATCATACCGCCCATGGGTTTTGTGATATTGTATCAATTCTCAAAAACCCTAAACTTTTCTTTACTTATATCCTATGCATCTGTTGGTGTGGTCTTTATACTATTAAAGTTTTCCTAAAATATATTGCCCAACAGTATCACAATATATTGTATCGCAATATGCATTGTATCGTCAGATTACACAACCATACACAGAGCCTATTTATTTCTTTTCCTGACTTGTATTAAAGAAATTGAGACTTATAATACTGAAAAAGACTTCCTTGCAGTAGAGCAGTTATTAATAAAGGGGTACACTGGAATTAAAGATAATGTCACTTTTTTCTGTACATCTCTACGGATGGCTTAAAAAAATAGTATTGAATTGAGCAAAAAACCTGTGCTAGTGCTTTTGCTCTGTTACAGAACGCATCAGGCCTTCTTTCGGTAAAATACTGGTTAATGAAGTTCTTAGGATGGAAATCATTATTAAAATAATTCCAACTATTTAAACATACACACCTGATAACCATATGTTCTGGGGTGGAACAACTGCGACCTAATTCTCAGCTACATAATCCAATAAAATGACCAACTGGGTGAAGTCTGTAAGTAAGTAAGTGATAGATATTCTCCTACCTTCATCTCGTCCCAGACACCGGTGATCTCGGCTAGACGTCCCTTGATGGCCTCAGACTGCTCCGGGTGTTCTGAGGCCAAACGGTCCGCCTCTTTTCCCAGGTCGGACAGCTTGTCTTCGATGGCAGCCAGGTCGCGCTCCATCCCTGTCAGCTTCCTCTGCAGAGCCATGACACCAGCCAGGTCGTTCCCAAGCTCCTGGGTCGACTCAATAACCTTAAGGGGGACACGGGGAGGAAGTGGTGAGTTAGACATGAGTTTAATTAAAAGTAAATAAGTCACTGTAGTCCATGCACCCCATTTTAATAAGACCCAAGCTGATGGGAGATTTTTAGTCTGCATTGTTTGTATTTTGGCACACAACTGCCACCATTGAAAGTAGAATTAGCTGTTAGCAGTTCCTGCTTGCAGTGTACCCATGGATGCACAAACAGCTATCACTGGATTACTTTGATACTAAAGAAACTTAAAAAACGTTCTGCAGTGCTCTGCCAAGCGTCGTTTTTCTGATATTTATGGACATTACTCGTGATGGATATTGGAGATAATGATATATAGATATCTTCTGGAAGTGTAAGTCACATTAAATATAAAATATGCGTTTCTTCTCATATCTTTTATTTGAGATTTTATTGAGCTATCAGTCAGAGAAAGAGTCAGATTATTGACACAAACTGCTGCACTCTGTCACTACATGCTTTAAAGTACCTTAACTGTCTCCATGAGCTCCGGCTGTTGACACTGTGCGTGACCAAACTACAATAACTGACTTCCTGTCATTTCAAGAACACCTGCATGCACCTGTCCCTTTCACTCACAAAGCCTCAAGACTCTTCAACTCATAGTTTGAACCTCGACTGTGGTGGACTAAAGCGCTGTGAGAGCAGTCTGTTTTTGTTCTGTTGGTACCTTGGTCTTCTCTTTGATCCAGGACTTGGTCTCATTACACTCCAGGTGGTAGTTCTGGACACCCAGAGCTGAACTCAGACTGTCTTTCTTCTGGTCCACCAGATCTCTGAACTGGCTCCACCTGGACAGACGGACAGAGACACCATCAGCAACAACCTGAACAAGTACTAAAACTGAACCAGGAACCTGCCAGGTGGGTTACCTGGTCAAACACAGGGTGTTTACAGCTTTAATCTAGACTTTCTTAGTAGCTCAATCGCAGTCAAAGTTAATTTGGTTTATTTTTCTGATTAGGTTTCCCGCTCAGTTTACTGTTCAACCTGACTTTAACAAACCGGGTAATCGATGTTTAGATTGACCCCATTACCTTCTGTTAAACCTACCATGAATTTCAGTGACCTGTTCAGTACCCGATAATAATAAAGTTTATGTACTTTTTTAATCCAAATTATTTGTTGAATCTTACAGTTTACCTTTTCTTCAAATCTCACTAATGTCAATTTATTTACCTTTTTAATTGTAGTTTATTTACCTTTTCAATTAGCTGTTTAGTCTTATTTCAACTACCTCATGAATCATGGTTAATAATAAAACTTTATATATCTGTTTACTCCTGATTTACCTGAAATTCAGTTTATCTACTTGTTTGATGGGTTAATAACAATCTTAATTTTAGTTTACCATCAGTATACAATTAACTGAAGTTACCTTTAATCCCAATTTTTTGTTGCTTTTGTGGTAAATCCTAGATTAGTTAACTTTTCAGTTTATTTACTAGTTTAATTATAACTTATTCAACTTTTTAAACTTTATTGAGCTGTTCAATCTCATGTTAACAACCTGTGTAATAGTAGTTTACATACCTGCTGAATGCTGGATTAGTTAACATCTTTATCAGTTTATTTATACAGTCAATCCCAGTTTATGTACTGGTTTAAACCTGGTTTATAAATCTGTCTAATTCCAGTTTATCTTATCCTACTGAAGTGACCTTAAATCCCAGATTTAGCTTGTTTAATTCCTAGTGATCACTCCCCAGTAAATTAATCAATTAATTACTAATTCCTGTTTAGTTCCCTTTTTAAGCCTGGTTTTGATAGCTGCTTAATACCAATTAATTAATCCCAGTTACATGTACAGTTGGTATTAAATTAACTGGTTAATAATTTGAGTTAATTTTCCTATCCATCCTGGTTTATTTCCCCCTTTATTCTAAATTTTGTTTACTATTTAATCCCAGTTAAATCAAGCACTTAGTCCCAGTATGGTGCTAAATTTCCACTTTAATTCCAGTTTGTTAACCGGTATAACTTTAATTTAAAAATTACCTGATAATCCCAGTTTATGATCTGGTTGATTTAATCCCAACTGGATTACCTGGTGTTGAGTTTGTCTTGCTGGGCTTTGATCTCCTTCTCGCTGGGATGTCCACTGTGGATCAGTTGCCTGGCAACCTGGTTCACCACGGCAACCCGAGACGCCTGGTTGTTCATCTCCGGCTCCAAACTCTCGAACCTGAACCGAGACAGAGGCAGTTACACATCATGACAGATATAGACATATATATTGCAATTTTTTAATTAAATTAACCTATTTAGTCTAACCTAGGAAAACAGTCATAATCTATAGTCCAAGCTAGAGGTTGGGGGTTTAAACACAACAATTGATACAGTGTTATTAAGCATCAATATATCATATCTGGCGTCTGGTTGAGAACTTCATGAATGTTGAAACATTGAGAGAAAAAAAGAAGTGACGTAAGTGTGAAGAGAAAAGTGTTGTCTGCTGATGCCTGCTGCTGCTATTGAGTAACACACACACACACACACACACACACACACACACACACACACACACACACACACACACCGAGTTAACCAGCATCTGGGAAACGATCCATGTGATGCTTTGTGGTCAATATGGAGAAACAAGTGGCTGAAAACCAGAGACTGTGAATGAACCGTGTAACCACAATCCAAAATACACACTCCCCCCCCCACACACACCCACGCAACCAAACACACACAATAAGCCTCTTAAACAGTGTGGAACTTTCGGTTTGTTGTAATTAACAGTTTACTGCGGTGGTTCCCACAGTCTGACTGTGACGGTCTCACTCCAAACAACAACCAGGACTAACTGACGGAGCACAAACCAGATCTTAAATTCCACACTGCTGCTTTTACATGTTTTAATTACAATAATCACAATCCTCTTTCATTCTCTATCTATCTCGAGTCGAGGAGGAGGGGCCAACTTTTAATGGCCCGTTGACAAACGACAACGGACAAATCCTGCTTTATATGTCTTTAGCTAATCAATTCCATACAGTAAGCCTAAAGATATTCAGGCTTTGAAAAAAAAAAGCTGTGTTTTGCTGCCCTCTCTGGTTGAGAGTGTCACCTCTGACCATGCCCAGAACCACTAGGTGTCCCCTGCAACCACACCCACAGTGATGTCACAGGGTACACCTGTACATCACTGCAGCTTGTTAAACCACAGTGTTACAAAAATAAAATGATTGATTATTGATTATTGTAATTATTGAGAAGATGGCAACATAAACTCCTGGTTGAAAACTGTTGCTTTACAAACACAAACTCTGCGGTTCGGTCTGGTCCTTACCGGTGCTGGACGACCTCCAGGTCCTCCAGTTTCTCTGGGATCTCCATGCTGTTGAGCCACTGCTCCTTCTCGTCGATCCACACCTCGCAGGCGTTTGCTTCGCTCAGCATCTTGTAGAGAGCCAGCGCGTCCTGCAGTGCCTGTTTCCTGAGCCGCGTCAGCTCCACCACCTCCTTATAACGCTCCTCGATGCCCGCCAGTCTGCTCTGAACCTGCAAACACAGGACTGTCAGACACTGCAGAGAAACTGAAAACAACTTTTACTAATTTTTACATTTAAAACTCTTTTGGTTTCTTTCAAAAATTAATTCAAGCAGAACTCTTCCCTGCTCTTATTTTAGACCCTGCAGCAGTCGGTGTTGTGTTTGTGGTGTCTGTCAGTTTCACCTCCTCAGAGTTGGCCTTCTCGGGCGGCAGCGTGCGAGACTGTTCATGTAGAGCGTCGATGACGGGCCGGTAGCTGCCGATCTCCTCGGCCACATCCTTGTGCTTCTTCACTAGAGCCTGAGTGGAGAACTCGTCGTGGCCGACGTCCACGCTGGAGACGATCCGCAGCACGTCCAGCATCCACGTGTCGATGTCGTCGGCATCGGCCTGCAGTGACAAAGTGAGAAGTTTAATATCAGTGAGCACATTAAGACTGTAAAAATGTATTCTTTTTCAGGCGTCAGCTGTTATCCTGCAGACCGGAATAATATTTGGTTCATGTTTTACAGATGTCTTCATTACATCTTTTCAGGAAACAGCAATAAATACTGTATTTCTGGCTAGACAACTAAGAAACTCTGAAACATGGAAAGTTCATCTTTGTGCTTTCAAATCCACTCAAACAATATCTAAGAGTTCTCACCTGGAACTGGTGCTGGTTGCAGGCCTCCTGCAGACGAGCTTTGCGGACGGCAGAAAGACGCTCCAGAGCCGCCCACTGCTCCTACAGCACAAAGAGGGGAGGGGGGAGGAAAGGAAGAAAGGAAGAAAGGACATAGGGAAGCAAGGAGTTAGGATATGATAACACACAATAGTAACATTAGATTCTGGGTGTTTGAGGAAGGATTTACATGAAAATGCACTTTTTCTTCTGATATGTTCCATATTTATTCCAGATCACATTAACGTTTCAAAGGTAAAACAGGACAAAGGAAGGGAGGGGAGAAAAGCTTTTATCAATCATCACTGCAGGCCAGATGTTTCAGAGCTGTACTGCAGAAATACTGAAGTCATATGTCCAACATGCAGGCTTTTTTTTTTTTTTACTAAAAGACGACTAACCAGGAGGGTTGTGATTATTATACAGCTTAAATTTTCAGACAGATTTCTCAAAAAGTGAATTTTATGTTTAGAAATGTTACCAAAAAAACACAGTTAGTAGGTAGTTTAACTAGTAGTTTTGGGCAATATTTCTTTTGGGGGTGGGGGTTGTCATTTTATTTAGCTATTTTATAGGTCTGGCACCAAAGAAGGAGTGAGAGCCATTCATTCTCACTGAGCGGCACAGTACACAGAGTTTCTTATCTAAAGTCTAACTTTAAGCCAAACCAGAGTAAAGGCGGTGGAAAGGTTGAACCTAGACTGTGAGTTTAGGTGAGTTTTTTCTGTCATGTTTGAGGTTACGATGAATTAACAAGGCAGTTAAGCTAGTCTTAATAACTCTCCGATTGCTAGTTGTTGTCATAATTTTAACGTATCGACCAACCCTAAACCACAACCAAAAAAGTAAACAGGATATGCATTACTTGTTAGAGCTAATTCCTACGTGGTTAATAGCCTTGTTTACCATATTACCTTTTAGGACAAGATCTTACAATGTCAGCTTGATGCTTGTTGAGAGGATACATTTTGTAAGACTAGCTTTATTGTACCTATTATCCACTTAAATGACCTCTCGACCTAATTAAAGGGCATCATTTTGGATCTTTAAGGCTTCCATGAACTCAAAGAATAAAAAGAGATTTACCTTGTTGTCTTGGATTCGTTCTTTAATCTTGTCAGCTCCGAAGTGTTTGTTGGCCACCAGCTCGTCGCCCTGTTTTATGGTTTGCTGGAGGTGGCCGGCACGCCCGCTCATCTCATCTTCGAAGGCTTTGTGCTGACTCAGCAGCCGCAACGCTCCCGTCAGATCCTTCCCATAATCCTCGGACGACAGGATCTGCTCTTTCTCCCTGATCCAGCCCTCCTACAAACCACACATTCAGGTCTCAGTTACATCACCTCAGAACTAAATCAGGTGTTTCACTTATGAATTCTGGTGAAGCCAACTGTGCTGTGGTTCAAGAATAAAAGTTGTTATGTAAAGTGATTAAAACAAATGTGGGCACCAAACATTTTTGATTTTAGTGTCAGGTAAAATAATTAAAATAAAATAATAATTACCTCTTCTGCCATTTCCCAGAAGAACTTCCAGAGGCGGCGGGACTCCTCGAGGCGAGCTCGGCGCTCAGCCGCCAGCTGACTCAGTTCCTGGTAACAGAAGTCCATGTGAGCGACTCGATCCCTGATGATCTGAGGATCACAGGGTTTATAACCTGAGGGGGAGGAAGAGGAGACTGAGTAGGGCAAGAAGGAGAGGAATCATCATTTATTTCTGTCTGTTATGAGAAATTAAATGTGTTCCAACCGTCTGTCTCACCCTCCATTTCATCGGCAAACTTCTGAGCGTTGCTGTTGACGTTTCGGACTCGGTCGGCCTGGATGCTGATGTCTGCCTCCACCAGAGCGTGTTTCTGCAGCAGGTCCTCCACACCCAGCAGGTGTTTCCCATAATCCTGAGAGAGCAACAGCATCTGCAGGGACAGAGAGCAGGGTCAAAGGTCCAAATTAGATAGGACTGTAATGTCAATAAATTCTCAGTACACAGAATGCAGTTTCTACGCTGCCTTCTAGAGCAAGGCACTGTGATCCAGTGACTTGCCAGGGTGCTTGACAAACTTTTGGTTTCTGGTCTAATTCTAGAGTCAGATGTGTTCATCAAAATCAGTTCCTGCACTTTTTCTTCCACAACAAAGGCAAACTGCCCCAATGGAACCTTGATCTGTCCCTTACTGTAAATCAAGGATGAATCAGGTGTTGACTTTACAGTTCAGATCGTATCTGCTCTGTTTTTGTGTCATTTTTAAAATTCAGTACATTCAGCAACATTTCATTGCTCTCTTACATGATACTAGGGCTGACCTGTATGTTTCGAAGCTTCAATTGTTACCATGGTAATCAACGTCCAAATCAGTATTCAAATGCTACATTGTAGTGAATCTCTTGCTCTGCATCTCTGCCTCATCAGTCCCTTCAGACCACATATTTTTCTCATATGAACCCTGGACTGAAACTTCAAAGCCCCAAAAATGGTATTCAGAAGAGCCCTACATAAACGCCATCTAACAATGTTGTCTTAACCTCAAGAGCTGAAGAAGAACTTCACCTACATAAAACTCAGGCAATATTTTTCAGAAATAGATAAAGAAGGCTGAGTATCTGACCAAGATTTCAGTATCAGCCTCAAAACCTTTGTACCTTCATCTCGTCCATCCAGTCCATGATGTAGAGCATCTCCTGGAAGACTCTCTGCAGGCCCAGGTTCATCTCCAGTCTCTGCCTGCGGGCCTTCAGCAGCTCCAGCAGGTACTCCCACAGCCGGATCACGTTGTCCTTCCTGGCCGTGATGCGTTTGATGTCATGGTAACTCTCCGCCTCCAGCTCCTTTGCCACGGCAACCACCGCCTGCAGCAGTGAGAGGGAGGAGGAGAATGAGTGGAGGGAGGGATAAAACGGCAACAAAAGACAAAACTCATGCTAAAGATCTAAAACAGAAACACAGAAGAGTCCTAGGAAGACGATAAAAACCTCTTTTTTTTTCAGATGGGGGATTTAGAGTAGAGCCTTTAAATTACTCCCGTCTCATCAGGGTTTAAATGCATCCAGTCAAGGCTTAGATCTGTGCCATCAAGATTTCGAAAAGTCTGATCAATGTTTGCACCTGTTTAATCAATGGTCCCATCTGACCCATCTGGCTTCATTCCATCTGATACAAACTTATTCTAATTCTGTTTCAGGCTCTTCGCAGTTCGAGAAATCGATGTTAAAAATCGATCCAGGTGATGAACTGACCTGAACTCGCTCCTCGTAGGCTGCAATGTCTGTTTCTATGGCTTCATGTTTCTTAGTAGCGGCTTCAACGGCCTGAAGATCAAATCCAAAGTTATCCTGCAGAAGGACAGAGGGGAGGAGGCAGGGAGAGGACAGGTGAAAGGAAACAAGGAGAGGAAAGAGGAAAGGAAAGAAGGAAGGAAATAAGTAGAGGACAGTGGAAAGGAAATAAGGAGAGGAAGGAGGAAAAGAAACAAGCACAGGAAGGAAGTAAGGACAAGTAGGAGAAAGGAAACGGAACAAGGAGAAGAAAGGAAACAAACAGAGGAAAGAAGAAAGGTAACAAGGAGAGGCAGGAGGAAAGGAAACAAAAAGAAGAAAGGAAACAAAGACAGGAAAGGAAACAAAAAGAAGAAAGGAAACAAGGAGAGGAGAGAGGAAAGGGAAAAAGGAGAAGAAAGGAAACAAAGAGAGAGAGGAAAAGAAACCCGTACGGGAGAGGGGAGGATACAAAGGAAGGACAGATGAACATATGGACAAATTATTAGTATATTATTAAACTTTTATGGATTAAGAAATAAGAATCTAATGAACAGGACTGACTGGCTGTTTTGATGAATGATTGAAAATGTGTTAAAAGCTGTGTCTTACCTGGGAGACCAGCCTCTGGTTCTCACTCAGCCACGTCTCCCTCATGGCGGCTTTGCGGTCGAAGCGTCGGGCGAGCTGCTCCAGTTTCTCTTGACGAATCAGCTCCGTCCTGAGAGCCAGCTCTCGCTCGTGCTCCGCCTTCTCAAGACGCTCCCATGCCTAAAACAAACACACACACACAATATCAGCCAAACAGTAACACTAATGAAGGTTTAGATAATTGAGTTTTATAGTTTTTGAAAGACTCTTACACGAAAATGATTGATGACGATCATTGTATTATTATATTTATAATGTATATGTTATTATTTTTCTATTTATTATAATATTGTTTTTCCTTTTCATCTTACCTACACAGATCTTTGACGTTGTAAATACTGATTTTATAGTTTTTAAGTAGATGTTATGGATCAAGCCTTTTTAAATTTTACCAAATAAAAATCAAATGTCATGGGAAGAAGAGTCATTTCTAAATTCAATTGAACTCTCAAAGTGTTACAATTAATTTTGAATGTCAAAATTAAAAAGTATTGTCTCAATTTACATTTCGAAAGTAGATCATAGACACACCGGGATTAAATACATAATCACCTTGTTGATGTCAGAGATGAGTTTTCCCTCTCGGGGAGTGTAAACCTTCTGGTTGTTGGCTCTCATCTTACTCTGGATGGTGAACAGAAGAACCTCCAGGTTGCCCTTCTCTGTGAACCTGCGCACAAGTACATAAAAAGAGAATTACCAGGTGTTAACTACACATCATTATATTATTTTCGAGCTGACTAAGTTTCAGATATTTGATTATAGTTTCTGGTTTAGGGACACCTGAGTTGACTGAATAATGGGAACTGTCTCAAAAATGAGCAGAAAGAAAAATCAACACAAACAAAGAGACATTTTTAAGTTGCACAAAGTTCATATTAATTGCAGAACTGCTTTTCTCTGCCTCTTGCACTATGTGTGAGCGTTTCTGTGTCGACCCCTTAGTCCCAGTCATGAAGGCATGAAGCACAAACTGTCTCATTTTATGTTTTTGAGTCAGCACATTCATTCAGACTCCCAGATGTTGATTTTAATCAACAATACATTATGGCTTTATGCAAAGGTCTATAATAAATAATTGCTTAGCCAAGAACAAGCATCTAAATAAATAAATCTAAATAAAATACAGGCCCATCGCAGAGAGTCAAGAATTCTTTCACATTGAACCTTTAAGTGGATCAACATTTGTTGTTTTTTTAGCTTGATGACGTGTTGTGTTGTGTTGTGTTGTGTTATGGTTGTCTAGCCGTGTGTCAGGGAGACGCAAGCACAAAGTCACCTCCAAAGCGAACAAAAAACAAGTTCTAAACTTCATTTTCCAATCATAACAGCTTTGACTCATTCCAGGAAATGTCATTTGTATCTGTGCTCTGATTGAGACTCGGCTGGGTTCGTTGTTTTGTTATCCTCCTGCAGTCCCTGTGGGAGGAAAACTGTGGTTTAAACACAGAGCTGACTCCTGAGTGAGTAACAAACTGTGAAATATCGGTTTACAGTGAGAGGTGGTTGGTTCTTTGGGTTTTCAGGAGTTAAAAAAAAAGGAGAGACAGAGACAGAGACAAAGAGGAGGTTAAGACAAAAAGAATCTGGAGGAGTGAAAGTCTATTAAAGACACAAAGAAAATAAACAGAAATAAAGCCAGAGAAAAAGTGTGTTTTCAGTGTACTTTGCTTTTTAAGTACAATTAGGCTACATATACCACCAAGCTAGCTAGCTGGTACATACCATGTGGAATATTTGTTATTTATTTTGAAAGAATATTATTTATGTCAACAATTTGGGAAATGAACTTAGGAATTAGAGTGAGCTGTTCAGATGGATATCAATCTCATGTGTTCAATACAGAGCTGAAGTCAGGACATAGTTAGCCTAGCTCACCATAAAGACTGGAAGCAGAGGGAAAAGGCTATCCTAGCTCTGTCCAAGCTTTAAAGCTCATTTATTCAAGAGTTCTATCTCAGATCTGCAACCCGCTATAGCTGGAGAAGCTGCACAGAGGTACTGGGCGGATGGATACACTATCAGAAAATAGTTCCAACATGCAACTTCTGCTAAAACCTCACACTTGGTTTTACATCTCTCTTGTGTACATGTTCATGAGTGAGCTTTAGAGTTGTTGGAAGATTAATTTATGATATATATGATAATGTATTTATTTTAGATGGAGCCAGGAGCCCTCGATGCTTCTGCGTCTTTATGCCAAGATAAGCTAACCACGTCCTGTTTCCAGCTCTGTACTTAACACACAGGCTGTGTTGTTACTCTACTCTTTATTTTTTAACAATTTAAGGACAATATACACATTAATCAACATTTCTGTAAAGTGCCTGTGTTAGCCAGCTGGCTAATTTCTAACTGTAGTCCCTTGGCGAGGTGTTTTGAAACATATAAAGTGCCATGGGCCCTATCTTGCCGATCTGAAACGCAAGTATCAAACGCAAAACGCAAGTAGCTTTGTGGGCGGATCTCGACGCAAATCTAAGATGGGTTGGTCTGAAGTAGCTACATTAGTCATAGGTGTGCTTTGGGCGTAACGTGCAATAAACCAATCAGAGCGTCATCTCACATTCCCTTTAAAAGCAGGCGCGCTTGTTCCATGGCGGATTGCTATTATAACGGCGAATCTGCCAGGAGCCGTTCACAGCCGAGGAGACCGACGTTCTCGTCAGGGCCGTAAAATACCGAGAAGTGACATTATTGACATGAAATAAATGTAACACAGCCATACAATAAATCAAAGCAATGTAACGCAGCTCCGCAGGAAGAAGACCCTGGCCTCGGGAGCAGTGCGCACGGGCCGAGCAGTGCGCCGGAGCACCGCCCGTTCCTGCAGCAAACCGGGTTTGACATGCTGGAGCGGGAGCTGTCCGGGATGCAGCACAGTATTAATGCCCATCCTGACCGGGTGGCGATGTTGCTGCGGCCTCTCAGGCGCATCCCCTCAAGTCTGCGCCCTTAAAATAGCATCTGAAGAAGCGCCACTGGCTTTAGACTAGGTTTTTCCTGGTCTGTGGCGGAATTGTTTTCTGAAACAGCAAAATAGCACCAGGGAACGTTTGCGCCGGAACACGCCTCCTCTTTACGCTGAACCGCCCCCCGGAGCGCAAGTTCATTCCCTAATTTAAGGACGTGCGTCGGTGGAGGGAAAATTCCAATGTGCGTGGGAAAAAAAAAAAAAAAAAAACCAGTGTACAAAGTCAATTGCGCTGAGTGAAAGATAGAGCCCCATGCCTTTAAATGAACCACTGCTTTAAGAACTTACTTTCCAAAATGTGGGACAAATTAGTACACCAGTAGGATGTTCAGTACCTTCGGTATGTAGGCTACTAAACTCGCTACAGATGTTTCCGGTTGTTAACCTTGTCACATTCACAACAGCCAACTATAGTCCTCCTTCAGAGATGAGATTCTTCCTTTTATTCACCACTAGCATTACTTCTAAAATGAGCCAGTAATAGTATACACCATTTGGGGAAAGTTTAAAGTTAATGAATTACTGCTTAGTCATCAGTGTGTGTGTCAAGTGTTCACTGACTTTGGTGGTTTCTCCACAGTGCGGTAAGTGTTGAAGGCCTGCAGTTGCTGCTGGACTCCCACCAGAGAGTTGGCAAACTTCCTGTTGTTGAGGATGATGATGGTCTGTTCGATCCACTCTAGCAGGTCTGACGCCAGAGACTCGTACTTCTCAATCATCTTCTCTGTCTCAATGGCGTTGTCCAGAACCTGGAAAACACACCACAAGAAACATGTTTACTAAAAAGGCAACAGCATGATCCTTTAACCGTCTGCTGAGGTGTGGAGAGGCGGTTGGTCACCTTGCCGATTCTCTTTCCCTCCACCTTCAGCGCCTTCATCTTGGAGAAGTAGTGGTAGTAGGTCACCACGTAGGTGATGATGGACTTCTCATCAGGGTGGTCCACGCTGATGTCTGCACACAAAAAACAAGACATCACCTTGGACTTTGAGAAACAGGGATGGAGATTTTTCTGACATTTAATAGACCAAATGATTATTCTAAAAAATGATCATCAGAATAATCAATAATGCATATCAAGTATAGGCTACTATATCAAAATGTGTGTGTGGTGTCTCATCATCTCTCACCCTCTGCGTCCAGCAGCTTAGTGAGGCCCAGGTGTTGCTCGGCCAGGTTGAAGGCATTCTGCAGGTTGTAGTGAGCGTTTGATTTCTTCAGTTTATCAAAGTCGATCAGGTCCGGTCTGAAAAATAGGATTATAAAAAAAATAAAAATAATCAGGGCCACAGGCAGGATTTAAAAAAGTTCCACTAAAGCCTAGGACTCTACAGTGTTTTAATGACTTGGATTTCTTATATTTTATTTATTCATTATTTGGCTAACAATTCTACTTTCTGTGAATTTTAATAAAACTCTGGTTGAGATTCTGGTAAAAACTTTATTTATTATGCAGCTGTATGGAAGCCGAGAACAGCCATGATTGCATTTTTTTTTAATTGCTGTAATCATAAAGTTAATATAACTTGTTAAAAATAAAAGGCTCTCAAGATAACAACATTAACAGAGAAAACGTTAAGTGTGAAGATGCAGCCGGGCTAGTTTTGTCCTTAAATGACGGGGACTGATCCAAATTTGACCTCTGACAGAAAGACACAATGCGATTTCTGCCTGTGTTACACTTTGATTAAAGTACAGTGTGATATGTTGATCCATAATGGGTACTCCTTGATCGGACATTTTCAGCTTTAAGCTATTGCTACAGTAGTCAAGACGCCATCTATGCATGCTGCCACAGCACTCCTGTTCTCTGACAAATGTGACTAGTAATAACAGGAAACGACCTTTTGTTGTCTCGAGATCACAAGTTAATTTATGTCATTACATCAAGGTAACAAAAATCGTTCTCTTGAGATAACGAGATAAATTAACTTGTGATAAAAATATAATAAAATAAAAAATAACATATAGTCTAAAAATGCAGGAATCAGCTGATAAAACACAGACCATGTGTAAGTCTTTAACTGCAGATATTCACCAAAAAGGGGCACCTACAGTATGGCTCTGGTTGAAACTCATCCCTAAATTTGCTCTCATCTCGCAGAAAATCTTTTATTTTCAACTCATATTATTCCAGATTGTTTGGAATTAATTAAAATGTCTATCTCTCTGAGGTCAAAAACAATCCATTGTATGTCTTATTGGGCTGCTCGACCTATGACCTCACTAACTGTTGCTTGTAGTGTTGGCGATCTAAGATTAAAGGACTTGAAAAAAGGAGATGTGGATAACTAATATGTGACTAATGTACAGTTGTACTCTTCTTTCGTGTTTTCTCCATTAAACTATTGAGACTGAAAATAAACAACAATAACAACAGTTAAGTGGAGATTACATTCAAACACAAAACCCCCAAATAATGACAGAATACAAGTGAAATAAACTTTGGGAGAATGAATACATTTTTGTGCTTCACCGTTATGTGACTGTTATGAATATGGACTTTATTTAGTTTAAACATAGATTTTTTTCATGTTTTGCATAAAGAAATGTTTCAAGTCTAAATGTGGTTTTGAGGAAACTGCAGTCTGCTGACTGATCAGCTGAGACTGAGTTATTAAAGAAGAGACTGTGAGCCAAGCAGCTGCAGAGCAAACACGAGGAATGATGTAATGTTGGAGTTGAAGTGTAGAATTATATTACGTGATTATAGAGTGCTGCAGGAATGAGTCCTTAAACCCAGAAATAAGTTAACATATTAGCTCTTCTAGTTTCCTCTCCTTGAAGTCAGTGGGTTTTTGAAAGATAGAAAACAACAGTAGCAGTACTAAGGCAATCTAGATGTCATGTGACCATGGTGTCATTCGTTTAACCTAATGTTAGAATTTTGTTTCTGGCGATGGCATTAACACTCCAAAAATAATAAAACTGGAACTACCTTTGTTCCCCACAGAGCTTATTTTCTGCAACAATCCAAAATCCAATGGAAAATCCCATTAACATTAAAATTGCTGTATAAGAATTTATTTTTGGAATCTGTAAAATGATTTAATAGTGTAGAAGAAAATAATCACGATATTTGTCTCCCAAAATCCAAGCAGGAGCACCTTTGCCTGTGGATCAAAGAGTTCCTACCTGTGTTTGTGGATGAGAGCGTTGAAGGCCATCCCGTCCCTCCAGCTGGTGGAGAAGTTGTGGATGTTGACGTTTGGATATCTGGGGAGAAAGGAGAAATCATAGCTCAGTCAGGTTTTCGAGTAAGACTAAAGTAACTGCAAACAACATTTAATAATGCACTGTTTTCTCTGTTCACTTCACATTCATCCGGGGATGTTAGAATAATCAATCTAATGGGATCACTGAGCTGTCGACTGCGAGTCTTCCACAGCAAACAGAACCAAGGCTTTTAGACATTAATTAATGGTGGAAAGATGAAGGCTGACGGGGGGGGAAAAAAATCACTTCCAATTTGTTTATTCACTTTAACGAGAGAAACAGGAAGTGATATGGTTGATGGGATGTGTATTCTAAATTTGAATAAACGCTAACGATCCCAATGGATGATCTGTAGATTCTCACCCTGCCGTCTTCATCTGACACCAGAGCAGCAGAGCATCTTTAGCCGACTTCTTCTCCTTGTTGTCCTCCGTCTCCACACTGATGTCCTGGATCTAAGACACACAGACAGACAGACCGACAGACAGAGTAAGCGCTGACGTAACTGACTTTTATTGAGAAAGACTGTCCATATTTCTTTTAATCATATACATTTTTTTTTTTTTTTTTTTGGAGTGAGCTTTTGTTTGTAATTGTCTTTTGGAGATAATATTTGACAGCTGATTAAAAGCATTCATGCAGCACTTTCAACTTTCTGCTTAGTTTATTAGTTTTTAGTTTATTAAGTTATTCAATCATCCCCTGAATGTAATGCAAACAGCAGACAACGAAAAAATTAAACAAAAGAAAGGGAAGAAAAAAAAATTGTTTTATTTAATTTTTTCTCAATTTGATAATATCCCCATAGACAAGGTCATACCTAATGCACAACAGCAGGTTAATTTAACAATAAGAAATTGTGCAAAAAGTACTTACTGAAAGTATCCCTAATGTTACATTTTGAATGGTTGGTTTGTGTTTGACATTAAAGGGTTTATTTTTCAAAAAACAACACACACTACATGCAGTAAAAAGATTAAGAGCAGCAGTGTGTCCAGAAATCAGTGCTTTCTGAGAGATCAAGACATCCCTGAACAAATTAAGAGAGAGTTGCTGCTTTTACCCATTACCCATATCCCTGAATGCAGCATTTAACTTGTTAACACACATCAAAGTAAACATATACCAACAAACAAGATTTGTCCAAATCCATAACGAGACACACAAGATGATCAAATACATAATTACCCACATACGCAGGCAATTTGTTAAGTTTTAACAGGGTGGCTGGCTTAATGGGAGCATCATAGTGATGGTTCTTTTGAGTAACCTGGTATAAGCTATAGTTTAGCTATAGAGCAAATTAAAATTGAAAAGAGGTCCAGTTAGACAAACTTTCCTCAACAAAAGGACCAGAACATCATGATGTCTAAATTTCGTTATGATTCAGTTCCATATGTACTGAAGTAGCCAACAGTTGTATTAACGTATACGTAGTAGTACTTTGTATAGTAATCTACAACTGACTGTCAAATAACAAAAAGGACAATTCAATAATATTTCAACAATATTTATTGTCAATTTTCATATTGAACTGTAGGGATTATATATAAGAAGTGTTCTAATAATAAAGCATGTTTTTTTGTCATTTTAAATAAAATCATGGCTGCAATTAAATATAAAACACATAAGAGATTTTGAAAATGTGCAACTTAAAATAAAGTGCTTAATTTGAGAAAAATTACGTAAAAGGTGCAGCTTGAGCTTGCCCTTTTCTACATCTTAACAACCTCAACCAATTTTATAATAAATGATTTCAACACATCTTAACAATTGAAGAACTTAAACACCTCCTTTTCCCATTCTTTCCACTTTATATCCCAGTACTCCACTTTCTTTTGTTCAGTGATGAAATAAGATTAAAATAAAAATATAAACCGTCAAAATGTAACAATTATCAATCATTTTTTGGTTATTGGTGTGGATCTGAATAGGACAGCAGTCCACCTATTAGTGACCTTGGTACTAGGGAATGGAGAGGAGGGGTGGCAGGTTAACAACATTTTGCTAATAAGGTGATGGTATCCCCAATCAAATCGCCTGGTGCACACACGTGTTCACGTTTTCAAACTCTTTCATGAGCTGCATGTGCAATCCACAAAGAGGGAGATCCACCACTGACATGATGAGTTTTCTGCCTACAGTCACAGCTACATGTCTGACCTCAACCCTTCAGTCTCACCAGAATCTCTAACTAAATCCAAGCCTTCAAACAGCCCACTGAAGACTAGTGAGAAAATGTAAATGTCCACACTGTCACTCTTATTCCATCAACAAACACACACACATCTGTACTCCTGCATGCATTCCCAAAACACTAACCATCCACCTAATTCTTGCTATAACCGTAAAACTAACTCTTTGCTTACCATAAGTCCTGACTTTCCAAAAATGTTCTCACTTTTTTAAACTTCCCTTACCTTTTTTTTTAAAAACCTCCCAAAAACATCCATGCCTTGTTAAACATGTCCTCATTGTCCATGCTTTCTTAAAATATCTTCACTGTCAGGAGTTGCCCTCATTTTCCAAAACAATGTCCTACTAACTCCAACAGGTACTCACAAAGATAGTACAAGAGTGCACACAAAAAAAACATCTCACCTTCATTGATTGACATCCATCAGTTTCACTCTAACAGAAGCGTGGGCCACATCTGAGCCACAAATCAGCAACATCAACACTGCCAAAGCATATATGACACACACACACACACACACACACACACACACACACACACACACACACACACACACACACACACACACACACACACACACACACACACACACACACACACACACACACACACACACACACACACACACACACACACACACACACACACACACACACACACACACACACACACACACACACACACACACACACTCTCTCTCTAGTCCTTCTGTCGGCTCCATTTCACCCTCATTCCTCCGTTGCAGGATTTAAAACCACTAAAAAGAGTTTTTTAATCCTCACAGCTTATAAAAGCTAAATCCCTTTCACCCATTTTCCCAACTGTTCACTGTCCCTAACGATGACATCACCACCCAAGTGACACGACAAGCCTGTCAACATACAGTAAAGTGACAAGCGTTTTTCTGAGTGTAACTCCGGCCATTTAATGGGGCCTTATTCGTTGAGATCAATGCATTTAAAGCAGATAAAGAAGCTCAGGACTGGTTATCAAGGGATGTGAGGAGGTAAAGGAGCCTTTTAAAAGTCATTTCACTTGAAATGAACAGGAAATGTCCAACAATAACAGTAAATATTAAGTAATTTAACTGACAGCTCTTAATCTTTCAGTAAATGTTTAAGCATTTAGCGATGTCACATTTTAGGGATTACAAAGGATTTAACATTACACCGACTCTGCTTTTATATCTGCAGAAATAATGAGTGATATTAATAATGAGAATTAATTCATTTTATGTTTTCTGATTAACACCTTGCTGTGAACTAACTCTCTTAGTTAATAGGCAGTGTTGCCAGTTTATTACGTCCACTTGATTCAACTAGAACTCTAAGTAGCAGTTTTGTTTAATCTTGTAATAAATAAATGTTTCTCATTTTGACTGGTTCAGCTTACCTAACTGAACTTATTGTGGGATGCAAAATAAGTATAATGACCTCAATAGATAGAACTCATTCCACTTACTTTGGGATTCAACTAACAACTATAGTTGCTGCCCAAGGTAATAATACCCATGATGAGAGGTTCAGTGGCACAATTTTAGAATAAGTGAAAAAATCAGTTTAATGTGACTGGGATGCAAAATATTAACAATAACCCATTACCTGCAGGTGAAAGGTAACGGCCAAGTGGGATACAAAACAGCAAAGTATCTCTTTGACTCAAACGAAACATGGTGTCACCAAAGAGGCAACCCTCGATTAGGCTTATACTCGGATCACAAAGGAATTATTCAACTTTTTGAGATGCAAAATAGTGAATGTGAGTGAATGCCACTTGTTTCCCTCCAGATTGGAAAATGTGTCAGTGTACTTGTCTTACTACTACAACAATATCACAACCACTGATTTACAATAAGCAGATCATGGCCTAGATGCAGCTCAAACAAGAGCAGACTCCACCCTGTTCGACTTATTGCACAACGGACCACAATGGAATTAAGGTGATGGATCAAATGACCCAAATCACCAGTGAAGTCTTATAGTTTCAGCTGATGTGACTGATTAAGTTTATCTCATCTTGGGATGCAAACTTGCACAGCTGCCTCTTACCTGGAAGCGGAGGATGATGGTCCAGATGAGCCCCAGGGTGAGGCGGTGGTTTCCGTCTACGATGTCATGGGAGCCCATGTTCTCCAGATGGACCCTCTGCTCCTTCAGGAACTGCAGAGCTTTGTCCACGTTCTCCAGACAGTGAATCCGCATCCGACCCTTGGTGGGTTTGGGCTGAAAAAAAAAAAACACATCTCTGTTTATTTACAACCTTCAAAAACCAGGAACCGTGAACTGCTTCATGCTGCCAAATGAACATGAAGAAGAAGAAAACAGCTGCGGACACAGCTGAACGGTTTCAGAACTGCCACTTCTTGTTTTGATAGTGTTCTTTGTTGAGTGAAAGTGTGTTTTAGTTTGCATGAGAACAACTTTTACTTCACGTTAATACAAAATCATAAATCAAAAGGATTTCCTAAATACAAACATCCACAAACAGGAAAAATGTGTTAATATTTAAAGCAATAAATATCTCAGAAAACTTGCATGCATATTAAGCAAAACTATGGCCATGAACCAAATGTTACTGCACAGTTGTCCAGAAATCTTGAGTAGCTCATGTAAAAACTGAGAGTGGATATTGAGATTCTGGAGGAAAATAACATGAGCTAATTGTTTGAGTTGTGCGATTTTGAAAGATTGCAAAGTGACTTATTTCCTCTAATGGATGAGTCAAACCCTAAAACATTCGGATGATCCAAAACTGGAATGATTGTTGAATTTTCAAATGAACAAACTTCGTCTTAAAAGCTTGGCGAAGCAGACGGGATTAGTTATTATTCTTTATTTTAATTTATATTGTAGGTTAAAATTACATACGCTAACATCATTTTTTTTGTCGAAGTGAAGATCTGATTATTAGACTCTTTGTACTATTGTTTGAAATTACACGTTGCTTCCTGTTGATTAATGCTGGACAAACTTGTATTCATGTAATCATCACCAAGCTATAAGAATATTACTGTACACAAAGGACAATTGATCTGTTATTTTAATCCTACAGTATTAACAACCGAATATGTTTTCCTTAGGTGTCAGGCAGCAGCTGCTTTATGTTATAAAGACATTTTTACACATCTACAACCTCCAAACTTTCAGAAAAAAATTTCATTTTGAGCAGAAAACAACTTTATATTACGGTTATTGACAGGCCCAGTGTTTAATTCTACTGGCAAGTAGCTGTTTGACCTCTGGAATAAATGCATTAAAATAAAGGAGTCATTGTTAGTCAATAAAGGATTTTGTCTTGTACTTAAAGACAATATTCAAAAAATGAAAACAGAGAATCTGGTGGTGTAGGTGAGATAATTAGTGTCTGCAAACAAACACAGAAAGAAAAGTCCCTGTGATGCAACCGTGAAAACAGACGGGAAGTGTTGGCATCACCTCTGAGTGTCAGTGAGGTTTTCCAGCACACAGAGAATGAATTAAAAACGATAAATGAAGATATTATTAAAGTGGAGGGATTTTCATGGTGATTTAACACCGTGATAACCGGCTCTACTGTAGAGTTTCAGTCCTGCATCAGACATATGTCAGACCAACAAACAACTAATAAACAACAGTAACTCAGCTGAAGGCGAATGCAACGGAAGGATAGAATCATTAGGAGAAAGAGAAGTACTATTAGGGTCTTCAGAGCATCGGTCTACATCTCTGCTAGAGGTGGAACAAGTACTCAGATCCTTTAAAAGTACTTAATCAACAAAGCAAAAATAATCCAAGTCCTGCATTCAAACTTAAGTAAAAGTACAGCAGTATTATCTGCAGAATATACTTACAATATCAAAAGTAAAAGTACTTATTATGCATAAGGACCCTGCTAAGTGTCCATACTGTACTCTATTAATATTACTGATCCATCAATGTTAGAGCAGCACTACTACTTTATACACAGTTGGCTTGTCCAGTGGTTCCCGACCTAGTAGGCCCCTCCAAAGGGTCACCAGATGAATCTGAGGGGTATTCAGAATATTAGAGAGAGGAAAAAAGAAAAAACACAAATCTGTTTTCAGTTTTTGGACTTGATCTAATCTTTGATATTTTTGGTGAAATATTGGATCACTTTACCTCTCCTTGAGCCTCAAACAAACCTTGAAATGTGAGAACTTTAGAGGGGAAATGTCTCTCCTCTAACAGCCCACAGACATCTGAAGCAGATCGAGAGACTACCAGTAGATACTGCTTTTGTGTAAGGGTTCACAAGCCACTACAGTGTACTATATAAGCTTATAATATTTTAGTAGTGTCTTGTAGTGGAGTAGACGTATAAAGCAGAACTGAAATATTCAAGTTAAGTACGTGAGCTGAGTACTCTTACTGCTTGGGTTGATTGATTGCTCCGAAGCTGCAATATTATGAGAGCTAATTTTTTAAGGCCTCCTGTTTTTAACCAGCTCCTGTATTATGTCGGTGTGACACACAGAGGATTAAAGCCACAGGATGTTGTGGAGGAGCAGACAGAGAGAAAGAGCATTGAAGAAATTAATACAGACTTAATGTCTATGAAATACAGGTCCATCTGGTCAATATCTACCTTTAAACTGATTCAGTCACCAGCTGGTAATTATCAAACCAACTTGACTGCTTCCTCTCCTCCATCCTCATCTGAATATCACTGATGAAGCAGTTTGTTTAGTAGCAAATTTTGTTAAATTAGGGATGCACCCATGTATATTGGCCGTCACATTGGTATCAGCCGATATTCGCTTTGTTGACCAACATCAGCCTATTGGCAAATAAGATGGCATTCAGCGATATCAGTGGGCGATATTTATCTGTTGTGTCACATCAATTCTACACTGGCTAAATGTTGTGTTGGTTATTTCCAACCTGGATACTGGAGAAGACTTCAGTTTTCCAAAACTGGTACAAATTGCACACAAATACAGATGTGCTCCATGCAGCAGCTCAGACAGTGAGCAGCTGTTCAATCCTGGATGAGAAGAGAAATAGACTGAGCTGCAACAAGGAAGAGATGCTTACATTTGCAGATTTCTTTGTTTCCCTGGCACAAAAGGGTGAACAAATAACAAAAAACCCATTGTACTGGCATCAACTATTTATTTCGTTTTTTTTATTTTTTGGGGGGCTTTTAATTGATAGCAATAGCTGAAGAGTGACCATAAAATGGGGGAGAGAGAGGGGATGACACGCAGCAAAGGGCCATAGGTTAGAGTCGAATCCATGGCTGCTGCAGAAGGGACTCCACCAGGTGAGCCATCAGGACAGCCCCAAATTGTTATTTTAAATATCTGTATCGGCCCAAAATTTCCCAATCATTGCACCCCTATTCATAATTTTATAAACGATATTGGTGATGTTGTTTTAAGTATGTTATATATACACATCTATAAATCAAACTAGAGACCACCTGAGAAAACACTCTGATGAAGGCCAAAAACATCAAGGTCTCCTGGAGAACAGCTGATATTTTAGACATGTCTGACAATTCCTTCTAATATTAGTGGACAGTTTTTATATCAAGTTAGACTCCATTATCAAACACAGTGAGAAACACTTGCCTTTTTATGTTTTAACATTTTCATAATCATGCTTTGGCTTTTATGTCTTGAAAGTTGAAAATGAGTCCTCTGGGTGACAATGACATGTTTATGGTGATGTTGAACCTTGAAACATGAATAAAACAAAATATAGGAATAATAAATAACTACAATAAAATAAATGTCGGAGGTGTCGGAGCGGCGATGTTACATCCTGCAGGCCGTCCACACCACATGTCCTCTATCCAACACTGACCATCCAAACTACAACCAGGACTCCGTCCAACAATAACACTGCTGTCTTTGCTTTTCCTCACACAGACGCATAAACACCACCCGGCTCAAAGTCACTCAGTGATTCAGGATCTGGATTTGGACCAGATATATTTTGGACTGTTGTCTGCTGGTGGCACAAGTCCAACAAACCACACACAGATTCAGTGCTAGTCGGTTCATACGGTTTAAGATCAGCACTTTGCTCCATAAAACCAAACAAAAATCGTTTTACCTCCATCAACAGTTTGGTTCTGATCTGGAGCAGGAATTTCCCCCATCGGCAGGTTTTAGCTGTTTTCAGACTTACAGTAACTATCACGCTGTGTCATCTTGTTTATAGAGATTCTGGACTTGCAGTGCAGTGCTTATTTTTGGATTGGAGCAGCCTTAACATCCTTTGGTTAGCTCTGGCAGTGTGGTGTAAAAACAAAATCCCCAAAAGGACAGGGCTGGTGATGTTCCGTATTTTTCAAATTTTTAACAACTCCCACGAAAAACCCAAAATGTATCTACTAGCAAGTATTGTGTGTGTATCAAAGCCTGTGCCATAGAGCTCCATTGTTGTCCAAAACTATTAAAAACACACCAATGAGTCACACTGCATTGGCTGACATGTTCCTTCATTACAATGAACACACACACTGTAGTTTATTTTAATTCAACCACAGTCCTGCTGCCACAAATACTCACTAGAACACCAAATGTGGATTCATCTGCCTCTGAAAAGAGTCCCCAACAAATTTTATTTTGATAAAGTAGGAACAAATGGGCTCGGAGTCGGAACTGAACGCCACAGACAGGAACTCAGACAACACCGAGACACGCGTTGACACATACATAGACATAAAAAACACGAATGCACAAACATAGAAGAAGAGCAGCGTTATCCTTGTGTGCTGCATTAATGTACGGATGAGGTAAACGAAGAAAAACAGGAGATCTGGAGAAGTGCAGCGTTTTAGCAATCTCACTGTGTTCCCAGATCTCACCAATTAACTTTCTAAGAATAATGTTATCATGACTGATGGAAATATTGGACTCAACTATGAAAGAAGCCCATGTCGTAGTAGCTGGAATGATCCTTTAAATCCTGCCTCAGCAGTGTGGAAACAGCCGCTCACTCTCAGATTCTTCTGCTGCTTATGGAGGCGTTTTGGCTCCATGTAAACCCTGAAAGTTACTCAATGACTCCTTTCACAACTCTGACACCCCCCCCCCACACTGCCTCCCACTGTTATTCCCTGCATCCATCCTGCTCAACACTTTACTATCACTCTGCTTCTTTGGTTTATTTTATTTCAGTATCCTTTTCCTTCTCTCTGCATATCCACCCATTCTTCCTCTCGCTTTCCCTACGCTTCTCATTTTCCTTCCCTCACTTCCTCCTTCATGAGGATCCAAAATGCCAGAGATTCTCTGGCTCTCTGCCCTGACAAAAAAAGGAAACTGTAAAAATAAAACAGAATAAATAAAGTATAACTTAAACGTAAAACAATCCAGAAATAGAGAAAGTTTCTCTTGATTCCTGGCTGACTGGGTTCTCTCTCTGTGTGTGTTTGACAGGTTGTGAAAAGGCCGGATGACGGCAGAGTGGACAGAGAGGATAGATGGCCAAGAAGAAGAAGAAAGAAAAAATAGTAGACGAAGAAGAGAGGAGTTTGGCTCGTAGCACTGGAAGTCACAAGGCGGGGGGTGACATTGGGACAGTCTGAGTGAGTTTTTTTTTTTGTCTTTGATTTAGAAAAACTGCCTAAACCCTGTGTGTGTGTGTGTGTGTGTGTGTGTGTGTGTGTGTGTGTGTGTGTGTGTGTGTGTGTGTGTGTGTGTGTGTTTTCAGTCTTCACCCAGTCTACATGCATGCTGCTGCTCTTACAGCCAGGCCCTTTGATGTTGTGTATCACAGTTCTCTCTTTTTTTTTTATTACATAAGAATTGTGACGATCAAAAAAAACCTTGCCTATATTGTACGTGTCATTTTAGCAGCATTTGTGAGTGTGTCAAAGTGTGTCGTGTCCACCCTTTGTATCACCGAAGCACAGTTAACATAAACTGACTGCTGCAAGTTTAACAACACACACTAAGATAGGACAGTGAGGTGGTTTGTGGTTAATGATTGTACAAGTCATAAATGTGTTTAAACAAGCAGATAAGCAGAGTGGGAGACTGAAGACACCCAACAGCTGTCTATGTGCAGCTAGGGAGGGACTGTCAATGCTGGAGAAAATCAAGCAGTTGGAAAATAATGATAGAATGGAAGACGGT